CTCACTCAAAAGCCGTCTAGCTTGAAGACCTAGCAACTTTGCTGCTGACAGGGAGACAGGGAGACAGGGAGACATGCAGGAGACCGTCACCGCGTCTCCTGAGCGCAGCTTCGGCTGAAGCCACCTCAGCTTCGAAGACTTCTTGCTTCTCCTCCGGCGGCTCCTGAACTCGGAAGACAGCGCGGAAGACGAAGGCAGAGGAGAGTGACGAGATCTACTGAACCCGGGGCCTCCCGCGCACTGGCCCAGTGACTGAGGCCCTGCCCAAGGTTGGAGAGAAACTGTTCTCTGACACCAAAAGTCGCGTTCGCGGATCTCTGAATCTCAAGGCGCAACAGTTTTCCCTATGGTCCTCATATAGGGCCAACCCTCAAGGGGTTTTTAGAGCGCCTGTTCCAAGGCTGCCTTGGCCGCGCGGCTGTTGCCCGAGCCTTCAGGAACTGCAGAACCCTTTTATGAGGAGAACTCTGACAAAGCGAATGCACGATTGCAACTCTCTGTTTGTCTTTATGCACTCTGAAATCATCGTCCCATAATTATATATATATATATGTCTATCTATCATTCTTTCCTCTCTCTCTCTCTCTCTTGGAATATGTATATATATATATATATATTTATTTATTTATTTATCTATTTATCTATTTATTTATATGAAAATTATTTTTATTTATATTTTTACAATTTTTTATATATCGTATATATTGATTCACATTGTAAAATGACAAGTCTGCTCTCTCGCCCCAGGGCGCCCTGTTCCAGCTGGCCCAGCTCGGCGAAGGCCCTGGCCAGCTCAAGGTTGGCCCGGCCTGTCGAACGTCGAAGAAAAGTCGGATTGCTTGTCTTCCAAACTCCAAAATCTGCCCCTACTAGAATCAGAAGCCCTCAAGATTCTAAGAGCTGTCTCTTAAGTAAGAGAGAGAGAGAGAGAGAGAGAGAGGGAGAGGGAAGAGGGAGCAGGGAGCAGGGAGCAGGGAGCGGTGAGCAGCGCTTTTTGCCTCCTCCTTGCGCGCGGAGTGAGTGGATGCGAAGTCTTGCCAAATCTTTCGCTTGTTCGCAGGCCTCATGCAGACCGAAAGCTCAACACCGGGGTTTCAGGAGTTTCCTCAAACAAAAACTGCGCAACATTTGGCGCATGACCTTCTCATAGCTGTCAAACCTGTTCTTGCGGGGACCTTCCGCTTGCACCCTATCGCCGTGTGCCCATCCCAGTGCCAGGTCTCCGAACTCACTATGGTAGACTTTGAAGGGCCAACTAAACGCAACGCGATGCCTCACTCCAACGTGTCGGAAATTATGCGCAACCATTGCTGAGCGTTTGAGAGCTGTTCCCCTTCCCTGCCTGTGATGAGACAGCAGCTGGTGCCTGGCAAGGTGTGCACTGATGTGCATGCTGAATCTGGACTCTCGCAGCTGGTGCTGTGCCGCCGCCTCGGCTTTTTCCAGCTTTTCTCGTTCAGCTTTGCTTCCTTTGCCGGCCCAAGACTCCACGTCCTTCAGCTGGTTGCTGAGCAGTATCTGGTCCTTGGACTCCGCGATGTCTCATACACAACCTTCTTTCACTATAGTGGACTGAATGAACGTTGGCATATGTTGGCGTACTTCGTTGTTTTTAAGGCTTTTTCCTTTGCCAAGAATCTCGCTCAGCCTCTGCCCACAAGGGAGCGAAAGACTCAGCTTGTTGCCCTCCCAAACGACCGCGCCCCAGAACACGCTGAGCAGCGAAGTCCACGCCCGCGAACCCTGCGAGAGCAACCCAACCCAAGCACGCCAAGGATAAAGCCACGAGACTGTGTCTAGCTACCAGTGCAATGCCATTCAAAAGCTATGCAACTGAACTAGAGTAACTAGAGTGCGTAATGTGTACGTAGTGTTACGCTGCTAGGCACGCCATTACGTGGGCCGTGTGCCACCTGATCCCACCTTGATACTCCACCAGCGTTCGCCTTGTTCCCAAGCTGAACGGCGTCTCTGGCGGTGCGTGCAGCGTCTCATTCCAGAAGGTGCCCAGCAAACCGCACACACCTCGGGGAATTGGCGCGCGACGATATGTGGACTGCCATCCAAGCAAAACAGCCCGCAACTACATCATACTACATCGTTTTAGGACAGGGGTCGATGCTTCGCGCGCGTCTCCCGCGCGATCTGCTCCTGCGAAGTTTGCACCTCTCGGAACCAGTACCGGTGCGCCCGGCTACCCAAGTGATACGCAATCCTCAGCTCGGCTTGTTCCCGTTTCTGGGGTGGTGATGTTGAACTACACTCTTCTCCTCGCCCAGTCTAGCCCAGAATATCTCCGAAGAGTCCCTGGAGTGCCCAACCCCAGGGTATGCACAGAGAGAGTTCCTGGGTGGTGGTGCCATATACCCAAAACGGGAATGCTCTCAGCCAACTGATTATCCCCAGATCTCCAGAGTGTAACATGATGCTTGTCTTTTTGTGGGGGTACGAAAGCAGGAGCGAGCACTAGTTTAGTCCCCCATCACAGAAAAGAAGCGAAACTCGGAAGTTCGGGTGTCTCTCTGGATGTGCCAAGCCTCTCCCGTGTCGGGTGGAAGAAGTCCCAGCCTGCGGTCCAAAGTCTTGCTGACATGGCGATCTCCTCCCCGAAGAACCTCAGGGCAACGCTGGGGTGGTATTTTTAACTACTCATTCTGAGGGCGAAGGCGGGTAAAGAGCCCCAAAGAGTCCCCAAAGCCTGGCTTGAAGATGCAGTGTTTTGTGGGACGGCTTATTCGCACGTGCTGCAGCTTCGGGGCAAGTACTCGAGGTGAGGGTCGTAAGGCATCTCGTGGACGACATCCCCGCGAGAGAAAGCAAATCGAGCCTTGTGGCAGCAAAAGAGAGGTTGCTTTTGCACATCACTTCCATGTTTTGCAAAGATGGCAGACTTTAAACTCCCTGCGACAACTATGCCTCTTGAAAAGCTTTCTCTCAAGCGAGAGCGGCCGTCCAGAAGAGCGCCGGCGGCGGCTCCTCAAAGTTTGTGCGGCACTGCCGCGTCTTGAGCCGCAGGAAGGGGTCCTCAGAGCTCAGAGGTACTCTGAGGACTCTGAGGTACTCTGAGTGCTCCTTTAAGACACATGACAGGGCCTCTCTTTTTAGTACATTCTCAGATTCAACTTCACTCTGCGAAAACGAGCTGTGCCCTCAATTTGCTCTAAAAAGGGAAAGAAAGGCTTCTTTATTTGGTGAGTGTCATCCTTGTTGGCATCCCCGAATGTGTCTGCGCAAAGGATGGGAACGGCCCTGCTGATGGCCAGCTCAGCGCAATCCGGCGTCCCCGGCACGTAGTCCTTTGGCAGCGTGTAGCCTCTCAAGCAACTCTGGGGGCCAACATTTTTCAGATGAAACCCAGACCGTGACTAGTTGTACTAATTAATGTGCTATTGATGCTTCTTTTGAGCTTAACGCTGCTTTCATCGGGGGAAGCTCAGTAGCTCTTTAGGGCCCAGGAGCTGCCAGCGTAAGTCGTGAGGATCGGCTTCACGCTCTTACAGCATGCCAGCTGCTCCAGGCATTGCACGTCCCAGTCCTGGACAAAACCTTGCTGGGGCTCTGCGATGTGCAGTGAACCACTGAGGGAATCAGTGAAGGAAGGAAAGGCAGAACCTGGGCAGAACCGTCTGATATAAGACCTCCTGCTAAGAGGCGCATGTGGCTGTCAATCTGGAAGTAGAAGTCTTCGTTTTGGAACAGCTCTTGCTGAATCAGAGCCCGGGCGATACAGGGCCCACGGGCTTCCGTGTGACGCAGGAAGTAGGTCCGGATGCGGCTGGACCATGCACCTACAGCTGCACTTAAGGCTCCGAAACATCTTTCGATGAAGAACGATAAAAGAGGACAAACCGCTGCTTGCATCTACGCTCTGAGTCGCGGTACCCAGGTCGAGCAGATAGGAATCCGAATCCGTGGGTGCCACCTGGATTCAGGTGGATTCAACACGCACACACTCAAGTTATCTGAGAACCCTGCCATTGGCTTTATCGGGGTCAACTCACAACCACCATCCTGCTACCGAGGTGGCCTGGAAGCAGACTCCGACAACCACTCGGTCCGGATACTTGGCTTTCTGGAACAGGTCCTCAGCCGACGCACCGCCAAGCCCGTCAAGCCCGTCCCGCTTTTGTCGAAAGAAGGGGCGCCCCAAGATCCGCCAAGCTTCTTGGATCGTGTACTGGCACCTGTTTGCTTTGGCGTGCTAGAGTTGAACAGAACCCAGTGTAGGCGAAAGCGACCTCACATGACATGGACTTTCTGTGTCAGCAAGGTGCTGGGTATCTCTGTAGCTGGCAATGGACACGAAGATTGTTTCCTTTTTGTTTGCCATGGCATCTTCGGCGCCGGAGCCTTTAGAGTTACCTTCTGGCACTGTGTTGCTTGTCTCACACCGTAGCATCTTCCGCGCACATGGGCCTATCAACACAATATCCTCGAGGACCACAGGATGTCACTGGGACAAGCTGGCAAGACTTCTGCCTAGGGTGTGCTTTTGTTGCGCTGTGACGGCATGCAGCTCCTGCCAAAACTTGCTGATAATTACGCTTGAGAGCAGCAGAAACCACAGCGGGTGGCTGGAAACTGCATGAGGCCCGACAGGGACAAGGGGTGAGGAGGGACAGAGGCTCCCGCCATAATCTTGTCCATAACCTCCCTTGCCATAGCCGTCATAGCTATTGCCGTAGCCGTAAGAGTAGTCCATCATGCCTTTTCCATAGCCTCAGTAAATTTCCTGTTTTCATGCATGACAAACCCTTGCGGGCACAACTGTTCGCACGCAGTGCTCTGCTCTGAACTCACCCGCCAGGCCACCGCCCTTCATCTTGGACACGGGCACACGCACAAAACAGCACCCTCAGCCCCTTCTACACTGCTGGGCCTTGAAAAGAACACACAGCCGCGGCAAGCAGCAAGTGTCTGAGCACCCAAAGTTGACAAGAGGTGCTTCTGGTAATGAACATGTTGCTGTTTCCTAGGCTACGAGTCATTCTGCGTCGGTCCTGGAGGACGAAGACTTCGGCCTCCTGCCCAAAAGCGTGAAATCAATACCGGACAACTGGCCATGTGCTGCCGAAAGCGCATGATGCCGACGCCGCACACTCGCGATGCACTTCAGGACAACTCGGGTTCAGTTTCGGTCGGTTCTTGGCGCTGGTACAACACAGGGATGCTGGCATTGGACGGGAAGACTTCACATCAGCGCATCCACGAGGGGCCTGGGTGGCGAGCCCTTCGCAGAACTCTTCCTGGCGGCTTGCTTTGGAATTCCTCCCTATGCGGACTACTTACACCAGAACAGGGAACAAAAGTGACCTCATATAGGGTTCAAGAATCGTTGGGGGCCCAGCTCAGACGAGGTGTGCTTTCCTCGCACGTAACTCTCACTGACGTGCTGGTCTCTCGATACGCATTACAAGATATTTCGAGCTGTCTGCCCAGACCGCCCCCGGAACTTCACGGATAGGAGGGGCTGGCTCAGCTCGGCCGTCTGTACAGACCGCAGTCGCAATTTGTGCTGTACAGTCTGATGATCAGTGATGATCAGAACTTGTCCACAGGACGCATGCAAAGGGAAAATGAAGTCAGCTTCGAAGCCACAGCTGAGCAGCTGGGTCCTACCTGGCCACCATTCACGCTCCACATTGCTTCGTGCATGCTCCCATACTGGTTGCCAAGTGCAACATGTGCCATGCGCCAAGCAGCAAGACACCGCGGATGGAAATGGTGGCGCGGCCGAGCAACTGATCACGGATGTCCCTGAAGAAGCCACTGAAAGGCATGTGGGAGCCATGCGCGCATCTGCACCCTGAGAGCATGTGCCTGTTGAACAACACTTTCGGAGGCATCATCTCCTTCGCGTGAACCTTCCGACGGCTCACATTCTCTCTCTCTCTCTCTCTCTCTCTCTCTCTCTCTCTCTCTCATACGATTAATAATTGTTCTGACTCCTATATTTCCCTTTCATGAAGGGGACTTGTATTGCCCTACTATGGTTGAAGGGTTGTGGGGTGCCCCTCTCTGAGTCACTCCATCTCTTCTCTGCACCTTGGCCGATGGCTTCCCCCACTTGGCGCCGGCGTATCGCAACACGATGGCCTTCAAGAGCTCCGTGCTTACCTCATGTGTCTAGTAATCCTGGCCTCATGCACACGCAAGGTGACGCATGGCGTTTCATGACATCACATGGTGCCGGCTTAAGTGGCATCCAGTGAGCCACTGCGAAGGAGCCGCTGCCTGAGCTCTCACCAGGAACTTCTAGGATTCTTTCATGCTGACATTGGAATATTTCGAAGATAGGGGGTACCCTTTTTGGGGGTCCTTGGAAAAGGGGTACGTCTATGTGGGGAAACATCCACGTAGGGCTGAGGAATTCGAGCCTTCCTCCTGGAGGAGCCACTAAGGGATTATCACCCAGCATCTTTGCCGAATCACATGAGCTCGGGGGACAGGTCATGCACCGGAACCCAGCCGTCCTCCTGAGCTTGTGCAAGCATGGTCAAACGGCCCTTGTTCTTCCATTCATCATGAAACCGCGACCAGGACATATGTAACGCAAGCGCGGCAATTCGTGACCTGGCGAAAAGCACCGCAAGAGCTTGGAAGGTCAGAGCGTCTTCCTCCGTGCCAGGCGCTGGCCCAGACAGGGCCAGAAACTCCCGAACATGGAAGTCGAAACCTCTGCAGCTGAGGCGCTTGTGTGCTTCCTACGAATTGACTCAGCAGGAAAGCTCAGGGCATCGCATGCATCGTCTGCATCCATGAAGAGGTCCTCATGGATCCCGAGGTCCTTGCCAGGGCTTGGGTGGCTTGGGTGGCACGCGGAGGCGCGGAGGCACCGACGCACTCTCCTCCTGGCTTTTCTTGAGGCGAAGTCGCGGCTCGCCATCCTCAGCTGCAGCGGGGATCCGCCTGCTTCATTGAACACAACTCATAAAGATGCTTCCTTCATGCTTCCTTCTCTTGGAACATCGCATGTCGTCTCCACGCCTATGTCGACAGCACAGAATCATTGCTGCAGCTGATCTGTAGTTGCATGATGACAAGCGTCCACAAAGTTCCAGAGCAACGGGGCATTTTGTAGGTCGAGGTGGTCAGCTATCCAGTGGTGCGTGTGCACCAGCAATGCCGGGATGCCGAAGAAGTCTGCGCAGTGCAATGCCTCGCACAAGGGGAGGGTGCGGGAGGGTTCCGGAAGGGTGTGGCAACACTCGCTACTTCAGTCTGCGTGGGGCTCGCCTTCTCCAAGTCTTGGGCATCCCGGATGAAGTCCGGACCGCCATGCAAGAATTCCAGCAGCCGCTCGAACTCGCTCGCCGGCCACCCCACCTTGGGGTACAAGAGATCACAAGATCTCACCCCGAGACTCTCCCGGTGCTCAAAGCGCAGTTCTGGCTGATGCCTTGATGGGCTGCTGCGCGGTCTCTGCCCACTTCCCTGACAGCATGGCAGCAAAGTAGCTGGAAGCCTCGAAGAAAAAGGGCTTGGAGGTGGCAGGAGCTTGCAGCACAGCTTGGGCAGTACGACATGTAGCTCAGCAGAGAGCTCAAACAGATCCTCTGGGCCGCGGGCTTTGAGAAGGAGAGGCAGGAAGCCACCATACACTGGCCTGCAATCCTGGCCTGGCTCCCCACACAGGAACCTCATGCACGTTGACGGAACATGTCACCGGCACCGGTGACTGTGGCAGATCATAAGAGCAGACAAGAAGGAGCATTGTCAGACAGGACACCAGGGGCCATCAAGGGAGCGCTCCGCGAAGCCCTTTGCCATGTCCTGTTATAAGGGGCGCCCGCTGTGAGAATGACAGTGTGTGGCATTGCTACCGAGCTATCAAGTGCTAAACGCTCGCTTCGTGAAAGGCAAGAGCGCATCGTGCACAGTTGTGTTTCGAGCAGCGCTCACGTAAAGCAGTGAAACTCAGCGCACTTCGAACGTCCTGTGCCAGGCACCCCCGCTGACGCCGTCGCCAGTTGCGGTGCAGACGCTCGCGCCTCACCGCCGAGCAGCCACGGTAACCACAGCTGGATAGTTGCACGATGTGTCTCGTGTTCACCCCTGCATCCCACGCGATTCAGCTCCGCCTGTCAAAGGTTCTTTGTCTCCCCTCCAGAATTAACAGCCATCAGCTAGGAGTTGGGGCGGAGGCTCGAGTCCACACACACACACACACACACACACACACACACACACACACACACACACACACACACACACACACACACACACACACACACACACACACACACACCCACACCCACCCACGCACCCACCCACCCACCCACCCACCCACGCACGCACGCACGCACGCACGCACGCACGCACGCACGCACGCACGCACGCACGCACGCACGCACGCACGCACGCACGCACGCACGCACGCACGCACGCACGCACGCACGCACGCACGCACGCACGCACGCACGCACGCACGCACGCACGCACGCAAGCACGCACGCACGCACGCACGCACGCACGCACGCACGCACGCACGCACGCACGCACGCACGCACGCACGCACGCACGCACGCACGCACGCACGCACGCACGCACGCACGCACGCACGCACGCACGCACGCACGCACGCACGCACACGCACACGCACACACGCACACACGCACACACGCACACACGCACACACGCACACGCACAAAAGCTAAGCTATTGCTGTGGAAGCTGCATTTTCGCCAGTGGACAGAGCCGGATAATTAATCCTGTCCCTGGTTGAAAGCCACCCAAACCGCTCCCCCCACCCCCCCCACAATTAGGTTAGATTGCTACCTCGCGAAGATTTTTTTTGCCCAATTCCGGGGACTGCGCTGGATTCAAAATTGACCAAGAAAGAACAGATGGGAACAGGATGCAGTTTGGATGGGAATCACAGAACGCATTCGTAGAGGGCGTGGGTCTGACTGAGCATATTGCGGCCACGCTGTGCGAAGACAGATGTCTGAACAGGTATGTCAAGTAGAAGGCCCTTCTACATTCGGAGAACATTTTTTTGACTCCAGGCTCAGCCGGATCCGAAGAACCGTAAGTTAACACTAAATCCTAAACCCCAAACCCTAAACCCTTCTACCTTCGGAGAACCCTAAACCCTAAACCCTTTTTGAGCTCTAAACCCCAAACCCTAAACCATTTTGCATCCAGGCAAACCCTAAACCTCTAAACCCAGTTCGCTGCTTTCTACACCTGTTGCTGTCCCCATACTGGAGCCCTCTAGACCACAGATCTAAAGCAGAACTCATGTCCACAAACCCAAAAACACTCGAATCTGAATGTGGCCACCCTGTTTGAACTTCTGGGTCCCAGGCAGAGCCCCGGTGTCACGAAGGCCCATCTGCTCGGCAAGACGAAGTGCCCGGTCCGGAAGGGTTGCAGAGTTCTGTCGGAATGGGGGCGCTCTCAGATTGCAGACTTCCCGAAATTGCAAGAAATTGCCATGGCTATGCATGTTCATGTTCTTTGTCCGGCAGGTTCCGTGAGGCGGAAGTCGTGGCGCGTCGAGGCGCCTCCAAGGTGTCCATGTCGACCCTTTCGGAGTAGACCCACTGCAGAAGTGCGCAGACAACCTGTGCTCCAGAAGCTGGCTGCAGTGTGGTTGGCAGTGTGATGCAGTAGTGTGGTTGGAAGTAGTGTGCCGTGGCTCCGATGATCTGGCCATGCTGAAGCATGAGCTGCATCCAAGCATCTTCAGGGTCCTCGTCCACCGCCGTGCAAGGAACCGTGATCTGCAACTTGGGACACCTCCGCAAAAAAGGAGAGCCAAGACGAAGCCCCGTGAAACTTCGACAAAGCCCTCCCAAGAACACGACATCGCGAAAACAAAAGAAGAGCTGATAGAGTCGCGGAGCAAGACAAAAAGGCAGAATTCAAAAATAAAACCTCCCAAGGGCGAAAACTGACCACAAAAAAAGAGAGCCGTGTGTTCGATCTCTTTCGGCCAGGGTGCCGTGCACGGAGCAGGGCCGCATGGCAGGGCAGAGGCTGGCCGACCCGAGGCTGCAGCTGCAGATCCTCAAAACGGGCAAACACTCGTACCCATGGCGAGAGAGGAGGGAGAGAGGGAGAGAGAGGGACTGAGAGGGACTGAGAAGGGAGAAGAGGGAGCGCGTCTGGTTGGCTCCCGAAGTTCTTGAGAAGCTCCCTTAGGCGAAAGAACGCTTTTAGCTTTTATGTGGTTCATTCTTTGTAACAATTTAAAAAATCAGATCCCCTGCTTCAGTCCAGGGGGCAAAGTCGGGGAGCTCAGGGTGCCCAGGGCAGCACTGCCGAAGGAGGAGCGACTGGAGGGACGCCATGGGGGTCAGCTTTTTTGCGAGTGACAAATGCTATAATGATGAGGACGCTCTAAGAGACAACATCTTGCACACCTTTCTAAACTCTCTCTCTCTCTCTCTATCTCTCAATCTCTTCTACATCTTCCGGGTCTTTACGTCTTTTGGCACATGCGAGGCGCAATGCCTGGACTGCACGGACTGAACTTGGGCGCAGGGAGTCAGCGCAAGACAGTGCAGGAAGCGTGCTTTTCACTGAGGCCTGCCTCGCTCTCTTGAAGCATCCTCAGTCGCTTGAAGCGCCGCTTCTTTTTCTCTTTTCCTCGGCATTGCAACAGTTCACTCTGCCTTCATGAACCTGGGAATCAGAATCGCATCTTGCAAAATGATGGTGAGCTCGTCCAAGAACTCTTCAGCAGCACGTTGTTCGTCTGCAGTGAGTTCATCAACTTCAGAGGATTCAGAGCCCCGTCGGGACTCCAGTATGTCCTCAAAAGACATGCGGTGCCTTGCCCTTCGGATGCAGGCTGGCAGTTGAAGGCGTGAGAGCTGGGGGAGGTTGAAGGCGGCAGCCAGGTCCTCGAAGGGATTGTGACATCTGGCGAGGTCCAGGTCCACGTCGCCATCAAAGCGGGCGCAAAGGGGCAGCAGCAAGGTCCATATCCGCAGCTGCAGCGTCAACGCGGGCAAGGAGGGCTCGGGGAAGAGGACGAAACTCTTGGTCCGCAAACGCTCACGCGATTCTGTGGGAACACGGGTTGCTTGCAAGGTCTTCACGGCTTCATGCTCATAGCACATGTCTCCAAGGCTGATGATGTTCTTCCAGGTCTGTCCCGGATATTGTGAATAAAACTGCGCCGCCTCCTTCTTCATTGCCGTTAGCTTGGCCTGTGTGCAATCAAAAAATGGTTGCGGGGCCTGGGCGCGCATGAGAGACATCTCGTTCTCCATCCACTGTGCCAGTCCGCAGCATGTGTTCAGACATGGCTTGGCGTGCTCCCACCATCCGCCGCATCCGCTTCCGGGTTGCTTTTCCCTCTTTTCATTTTCTTGCTTAAGGACCTCAGGTGCATAAACGATTTTGAGCCCTTCGTCGCTTCGTTCAAAGGCGCTCTTCAGCTCAGGTGCAAACTGTCCCAAACACGAAGTGACCTCGAAAAACTGCGCACGGCTGTCTGGAGGGTTGCTTATCTCAATCATGATATGCATCTCAGGACATGCTATACGGCTAATCAGATTGGACTTAATTCGACTCGACTCGACTAGACTATTAGATTCAGTGGCAAGGGAGACTGAGTGACTGAGTGAAGGACCCAAGGTTTGCGCGAGTTGGTGACGATGACACAACGGTCGCTGATGGCACAGGCGCGGCCCAGAAATTCCTTGACCGCCCGTCGCCAGGGCTCCAATTCTGCAAGTAGCTCAGGATCTGGGGTCGTCCAGTCTTTGCTACGCCTTGGCAAACCACGCTTGTGGAAAAGCTCCGTGCAGGGGAACATGGTGTCGTCCCAATCTAAAAAGAGCAAGGTCTGCTGGGGCTCAGCAAATTGTCTCCCAGAGGATGCCACGGAGAGAACGGAGCAGGGGCTTTGCTGCCGACTCCATCCCACGAGGCTCGGGTTCAAATTCCCCGAATTCTCCTGAATCTCCTCGGAGTCTTCGGATGTCCCGTGCACGGGGGACAAATCCAGCAGATGCCCTGACCCGGCAAGCGCATCTTGCAGGGCAGCATTCGATGGGATCGTGGGAAGCTTTGGTGGCATTTTGCACCACTACGTGGAGACTGTCACCACTCCCTGGACCCGACGAGCTGTCGCTGAAACATGCGGAGGACCACACCTGTACTATAGAGGCTATACAAAGACTATATGTGTTTACAGTATTTGTTATATTGTATACACTGTATACTGATCTACAGAGATTGCAACTTTCTGGAGGACCTGACCACCCATGTATACACACGACCATGCTGCCGAAAGCACAGTGACATAGATCACAGATCCCTGAGCAGCTGACTCCAATACCTCTCCAAGCTGTTCGAGCCAAACCCCACCCGGCCCCCCCAAGTCAGGATCTGAGACCTGTCGCGGCAAACTGGGCCTTCAGAGGCACAAATGGCCCCCAAAATGCGAAGAAGCATCTGATAGCTCAGCTGCCGCGCAGCACTGGCAAATTCACTCAGCTCGAGCCTCGTGGAAGCCTTTTGCTTCGAACGCCTGGGCTCGCAAACACATCTTCCAAAAAGCCATCGGGCAAAAAAAGGCTGTAGGGGAGCCCTTGCCATGATGGAGCTCTGTAAGGCTCTGGGAGGCTTTAAGTCGAATTACATGCCCCGAGATGTCTTGGCTCGGGCGGCGACGGCTTCGAGGCGCTCGACCTGCCAACGATCTCTTGCCCCCAAGTTCTCTTCTGCGCAACCGCGCTCAGGGAACGAAAAGGCGCACCAACAGCTCGCTTAGGAACACGACTCCGGCAGCACAAGAAGTTTGGTGTCCCGGTGGCCTATCGTCAGACTCCTCGTCCTGTCCCCATATGTCCCCATTAGCTCTCAATAGCTCTCACAAGCATCTCAAGGGTGCCGCCATGTGATGCGGCGAGGACGGCTGACGCTCTCGGTTCAAGCCGACCTTCTTCCCGCGAGAGCGCTTCCGCCTGGACCGCGGCCTGTCACAGTTGCCATTTTTGTTGGGACACATGCACACGCACAGACAGAGGGGCCCAATACCCCCTACATTGGCCCTACATGATACACACCACCCAACCACCCGGAGCAGCAAAAGAACACGTGCCGGGCAGGGCTCGCTTTGCTTCGACGGCCCTGCTCAAGCAGCAGAGTGAAGACAATAGACAGGAACTCGAAGAGAACCCTCTCGGATTTCGGAAATGCCCCAACCGCTGGGCCTTCTCGGGACTTCTCAGAGCCTGAGCCTTCGCAAGAATTCGCTGCCAAGGCTCTATGGCCGACTCATGAAAACTTTCAGCAACTTTCGGCGCCCCCCGCCGTCGTCTCTGTCAGAAGCGTCTTTTTCCGATTCCGAGCCTGGGGAGTCATTACAGAGCACATCCTGAATTACATGACGGTCGTGCCCATCACTTCGCGGCTGCTATATTTCCCAGCGAGCAAGCGAGCTGGCCGGAGGGCATGAATCACTGAATCACTGAATCGACTGATGAGATCCAGGCTCCCAAGGGAACTTCTTCAGATTCGGGGGTGTTGCTTCGTGTGGTCCACAGAGGCTTACACAACGTTGCGTTGTCTTAAAGACAAGCTCACTGACCACATGCGCTTGCCACTGTGGTGTCGTCTGTCAAGCTCCGCAAACGACACCTATCTCCCACCGATGGGCTCGTTGCCCCTGACATTCCTCCTTGTCGGTCCCCCACACCGCCCCACAAAACAGCTCGTAATCGCAACATTGTGAGAGCCCAGCCATCTCCTTTCGGAGAGCCCTTCTCAGATTCGCTGCCTCAGTGCACTTCAGGATAATTCATACTATGCATCAATCAAAATCACCATCTGTGCCTTTGCCAGTTTGATATCATTTATTAAAAATTTGTGAATGTAATACAGATGAACATGAACTATCTGCATAAACTTTCCATGTCATCACTACATCTTGTCATTTGATATTCAAGCGTTGGGTGTCTTTATCCAAATGTAATATTTGTCGTATGTTGATCACATCTTTTTGACAATTTAATGGTAAATACACACGTTGTGGCACTTTAATAACTTTTCTGCTATCGTGATTCATATTATTTTGCTTGAAATTGCTGTTTTGATCATTATTGTCTGATGTTATGTATTATTCTAATGCCTTTGCATTTAATAACGCAGCTTACACAGTGCGTCGGCCTGCAAAGACTCGCACAAAACACATCTCGGGAGCCTTCGAGAGTTGGAGGCTGCACGAATCGACGTTCTTCATGCCTCCCCCCAAGCAACCTCCCCAGGATCTGCGGACCCGGTGCGCGATCGCTGCGATTGCTGCGACGGCGCTGAGGGTGCGGAGGGCGCCGGGCCTTGGAGCTTGTGGTGGACAAAAGGAAACTACTATCGTTACAGAGAAGGCGCTTAATCCGAACGTCGGTCGTTTTGCCCGCCAGGCGTGGGCGGCAGCCAACCAATTCTGAAACCAGGACCATCATGTCTTTTGCTATTTCCCTCACTACTACGACTGCTACTTCTACTGCTGTTATTGCAACTTCTACTCCTCCTATGGTGAGCTATTTATTGATCCTGTCTTATTTGTTTATTGATCCCTTGTTTTTTTATTGAACTTTTTTATTTGTTATTGATCCTTTAGTTTGACTCCCATCCCCACCACCACCACACCACCACCACCATCACCGCCACCAGGACTGCTACTACTGCTGGACTTACCATGCCCAATGAAGCCATGGCTTAGTACGGGATCGCAGAAGGTCCAGTGCGCAGCCAGACGACAGTGCACAGGCTCGGTTGCTTTAGCCTCCAATCTTGTACGCCTCGAGCGAATTGGCCAAGAGCTACCAGCTGCTTCGCGCTATCAGCGGGTAAGGCTCTACGGCTCGTTGCAAGTAGGCTCAGTCACCACCGTTTTCACTGCTCCTAGTACTCCTGCTACTGCTACTGCTGCAGCTGCTGCCATTCCTACTGCCGAACCAATACTGACACTACTATGACAATTGACGCTATTGATATTTCTGTTTTCTTGTTGCTGTTAGCGGGCCTAGGCTTGAGCTTCGAGACCTCTCCAGATTCGTGAGCTCCAAGGCGAGAGGAATTAGCTTAAGTCGGGTTTGCAGGATGAAAGGGCCGCAACATGTTTCCGACTAAACGACGCTAACTCCACCAAAGGTTTACTGAGGTTGGGTCAAAAAAGTGAACAGAGAGCCCCCCAAAGCCGGCTGAGATTCCTGGCTCGAGGATGCGCTCTCCGCCTTCCTGGCAAGGAAAAAAGTGTAAGAGCTTCCCTTTTTCACGGACTTCCAACCCTTGCCACGCCACACCTCTTCCGCGGCTTCTTTTTCAATGCCTCCAGGCCAAGACATGAAGAAAACGGCATCCCGAATTCAGTGGATGCCCCTCTTTTGCTTCCCTTTTTGCTTTGCGGTGCCATGCTGTGCCTCCTCCTGCGCTGCCTCCGCCGCCGCCTGAGCTGCCTTTGCCCGGGCCTTCGCGGCCTTCGCGGCCTTGGCCTTGGCCGCCTTCACGGCAGCCTTCCGAGCCTCGGTTTCCCCACATGCCCCCGCAAAATCTCTCTCCATTCTCGCTTTCTCTTCTTGACTGCTTGGTTTTCAGCTGATACACACAAGGGCGGGTTTTTCTCGACATATTCGTGATCTTGCTACATGCTCTTGCGACAACACAGTGTGACAGGTCTCCACCTCGGCTTCCTTGGCACGTTGCCGGCGCGCCTTGCACAGGCCACAGCAGGTTCCACTCCGATGGAGTCTGAGGATCAGTCTTCTGGCTATTTGCCCTTGACTTCGCCCACCTCCTGCGCAGTTTCTGCTGCATCCTGCGCAGCAGCTGCCGCTTTCTCAGCGGCCTCCGACATTGGTGTGAGCTGCTCCCCCCAGTGCTGTGCATTGTGCCTCTTGTGTTGCGTGCTGCTGCAGTCGGACATGAAAACAGGTGCATCGAGCATCATGGAGCATCATATGCCTGATACTCTGCAGCTCTCGCATCGATGCTGTCATGGGCCTCGGCAGCCATGGCTACGAACACTCAGAAAAACACATGATGACTGGGTCACTATGAACACGCTCGCGCCCAGAGCGTCGAGTGAGAAAAAGAGAGAGAGAGAGAGAGAGAGAGAGAGAGACCTGAGTTTTGCAAAGCTGCAGAAATTTTCCACCGAGAGAGCGGCTGTCGGAATCTTGGCCTGGACCTCTTTGAGCTTGCTGGCCGAGGTCTTGAGGTGCTCGCCTCAAAGACCACACACACCCCATGTAGCGAGTTGTGAGGTTTTAGCTGTTCTAGATTCTAGCTCTAACAACAGAGATTGGGATGGCCGAAAGTGGCGGTTCTGGAGGTTTGCACCCATGCGGTCTTCATTGTTTCTAGAATAAAGCCCTTTAAGAGGAGGATTTTTTTTTTCATTGCCCACCCCCAAAGAACTGCTTGCCTTCTGGCTCTGAGGGCGGCGCTGGCCACTTTGTAGACGGCATCGGCGGATTTCAGCCGCGAGGCTGCGGCCTCTTCATTGAAGGAAGACGTGGACACAGCCAAGGTGGGGGGGGGGGCAGAGCTGTGTTCCCTCATCTTTCGCCAGCAAGGCAAGCAGAAAACAAAACAACAAGCAAAACAACAAAACAGAAAAGAAAACAACATAAGAGACGGTGGAGGGCTCCTCCGCTTCCTTCTTGGCGTCGTCGCGCGTCTTCTTGGCGTGCTGCGCCTTCGACAGCTCTATTACGATTCTATACCCCCATTTTCTCCCTCGGCCTTCTCTCCCCCCCCCCTCCCTCCAAGTCCTTCTTCTTATTTGGCCCCTCTTCCATGACTTGAGTTCGGGAATTTGCTGTTCAGGGGTTGAAATGGATGGAAGATGGATTGCAGATGCATTGAGGCATCCGAGCTAGTCCGAGGGGATCAGTTGCCCACAGCACCCAGCTGCTTGCCCATCGGTTCTCCTTCACTTTCTGACATCCCTGACTTGAAACTTGCCCTCGCTGCTGGGCCTTCTCGGCAGCCTCCAACGCCTTGCCCCGAGAATGACTGGAGCAAGCACAGCGGGAGGCCCGCTGACCTCTTTAACAGTTGCGCCTCTTTCTCCATGTCGTCCGTTTCCTTGTTGAGCTTCATCAGCTCAGCCTGACAGTACCCTCTTGGAACCCTTTTGAAACCCTCATGGGGCGGAGTGGAGGATTCATGCTTCGCAAGCAAGCTCCTCTGTTGTGCTGTTGCCTGCCATGCCTAGATGTGTTCTCTTCTCCAAGCTGCCCTGTCTTGGACTGTCTTTGGAAATGAATGGGCTGGGATCTAAGTTGGAAGACGACAGCAGGAGCTACGAGAACTTCCGCAGTTCGCTTTGCGAAGCTGCGAAGCTTGCCGTCTGGCGGGTGAGTCCGTCGGCGGCCTTGCGACAGACTACTTTGAGGCTATGCTGGTGTGAGACAAAGAGTCACGTGCGCCTGCGTCAAGCAAGCATGGGCTAGTGACTAGTGAGAACAAAAGCGACGACAACTACAACTTCTCTTGCTCAAACTTTTCAAACCACTGAACTTGGCTGGTCTTTTGCCAGACTTCTCCGTCAGCCCAGCAGATCCTCAGACTTCTACGTAAGAAAGAAGAAGGCATTTTTGCACATCCCCCGCGGGTGCAGCAAAGGCACATGGCGGCGAGGCCGTCGTATGAAAAAAACACTCGTCCCTCGAACCTGAGAGGAGTCATGTCAAAAGCTGATCGAGGGATTCTCGAGGCATGTTGAAGTCAAGCCCTTAGGACGTCATAAGCGAAGGTATTTACGAGAAGATGCGAGAAGCCGATGCTGGTTGATGGTCACTTGGACGATATCCGGACTGGTCGCCAGCAGCTCGCACCTCGGTCGATGTTTCGCTCTGTCGCTCCCCCGATCTTCACATTTAAAGGGAGCCTCCAGGCTCATTCTAAGAAGTCCTCTTTCTACTGCTTCTCGACTCATGGCTTCTGTTCTCTCTCACACTGCAAGCTCCGCCTCCTAAGTTAGCCCATGCGCCCTGCAAGACACAGTGGAAACAGATCATTCAGGCAGAACTTCGCTCGCTTCCCCCCTCCCCTCGTCGACTCAAGCCCTCTCCACACAACAATTCTTGGTCAAGCCCCGGCGGCTTACAAAGCTGCTGCGTGTACAGAGAGAGAGATATATATATATGTATAGTTTTTTTTACATATATACATAGAGAGAGAGAGAGAAATATACATGCATGTATGAGGCTGGGGCTTCTCATACGCCAAGGATGGGTGCCACTGCAACAATCCATCGCAGATCTCACCTAAGCTTCAGTTTGTGGACCCTCACGATTCTGAAGAAGGCGGAAAGAAGGCGAAATGTACTGAAATAAAGGGAGATTCTAATGACATTCCTTGAAGGTATGTCCCAAGGTGATTTTGATGATCCGAGGGGCACAGTGGCTTCCCATCGTCCTTGCGAGCCCAGTGCCCACCCAGCTGCCTTGACAGTGCCAAGAGCAAATGGAGGCTGTGCACATGCGTCACATGCGTCGCATGAGTACGTGCAGACTGTCTCCAGCAAGCCCTGCAAGTTTCCTCTGCAGGCACCCTCTCCCCAAAACGTCTATTGCAGCTCTGCGACTCCAACAGGGGGGGAGGTCTAACCGCCATGGCCTGGCATGGCAGAACCCGCACTTTGTGGGGGCACGGCAAGCGAGCGTGCGTGCGCCTGCTCCGCCACGACCGGTGCTTCCGCTCCGATGCCCTCGGACTCGAGCACCTGCCAGCCCTTAGCTTGCGTTGGCTGCTGCGGGATCGGAGATAGAAAGTTACCGAAACTGTGGGATTTTGACTCATTCTGACTGTGAATCTAATTGTATATATGTTGAACTCATCCATCCGTCCATCTTATTCGCGTGATTATGTGTGCGTGCTATGAGCATCGTGTGTGCCGAAGTCTTGGATCCAAGGGGCCTTCTGTATCCAAACCGATTTCAAGTGCACCTGCCAGCCAAGAGCGAGCCAAGGTCATGAAACTCCTGGCTAAGGGGCTCTCTATAGAGCAGTTGCTACCCTCCAAGTGCCTGCTGCGGGTCATTGCAGACTTCCTCCGAACACAAGATTCCAGCAGGCGAGTGATAGCTTGACTGCGGGTCTCTGCGCCGCGTCCTCCGTTGATGCTGCTTGCCGGTCCGTGCAACAGCATGCCGTTCCCATGGCAGTCCGGGCACAATGCTTCCTATGAGCAAAGCGCTCTGTTGTGCTGCAAGCTTCTATGTTCGGATGGCCCCTGTCTGGCAAATCAGCTCACTGATTTGGAGTTGGAACTGAACACCATGATTGCCCTGAAAATCCTCAGAACGCGTAAGGAGCCACACATGGAGCCCAATTCAAAACCCTATAATGATGGCAAGAGAACACCCCAACAAGAAGGGGGGATCTGCGGGGCCACAAGAGCGCATTTCTTACACCACCAGAAAAGAGATTGCCGAATTGGGGGGGGCGTGTCGCCTTGGCCTCCTCCAGCCTGGACCGCGCGCTTTGCGCCTCTGAGCGTTTTCTGTTGGAATTCTGCTCTCAAATCTTTGGGTCAGTCTTCGTAGCTTATAAGGCTCGTAAGGCTCGAAATGTCGGCAAGGCCTGATCCGCTGCTTTCGCTGCAGCCTCCTAAGGAACAAAGCTGGAAGCAATCGGGGAAGCAATCTGCCGCCTGCAATTTGCTGGTCCTGCGCTTGCTTGCAGTCTTCGTCTTCCTCATCCTTATAAGACGATTCGTCACAGCCAACCACAAAGATGAGCCTGTATGTCAGCTTCGTGCTTCTTCGATTTCAGGAAAGGGGGGCACGCCTCGTCCCCAGAGCTCTCCGAGCTTTCGTTCACCTGACACACGAGCCAGGAAAAGTGGCAAAGCCTAAGACCCTTGGCCCTTGTCCTTGGCCTTCTTGTCCTCCTGACCAGAGTTGTCAGCCCAAACCCACCAAGCCGACACCATCCGATACCCCTAGCCAAGGCAACTGCTTTCTACAGCGGATTCTTTCGGGGCTAATCTTCAGCTCGGCAAGCAATCCTCGCCCTCGTCTTCCGTAGACTCGGGATCCGGACTCTTCCTCAGCTGCAATTCACATACGATTACGCCGACGAGCGGCTGGCGGAAAGCAGAGCGCGACAGGGCAAGCGTACTTTCATGTCCAGCGACTAGTGACTGCGAAGAACCGAGGAATCTGACAAGGCACCCACACAAACATGCGGCGTTTGAGAGATGATGGTTGAGAGCACTCGCCGGGTCGCTTTTCTCCGGCGTCTGAGGGATGGGCTCGGGCTCCGCACTACCTGAAGTTCTCAAAGCAGATCCCAGCCGAGTAGGATTCATGGAAGTAGGCACTTCGACAAGTACATGCTTATAGAAATGCACAGTTCCAAAGTTTCATAGTTGTAGAACTATCATTGTAGACGTATATGTTTGTTTTTTTGAAATACACGGTTGTATATTAACAAGATGTGCATGTATGTATACATGTACATATGTATATATGCACATATATATATATATGTAGAAATGCATATATGCATTTCTGCATATATGTAGCAATGTATACATGTTATCACTTTCATGCGGCGACATTGATATCTCGGAGTTCGGTCTTTTGACTGGTCTGGGTACATCTGGGGCAAAGGCTGTCGGCTTTCTTCTTCTTGCCCTTGCCTGCATCAGAGGTAGACCCGTCCTGCGGACGAACCGTTGCAAGCCTTCACGCGTTTCTTGCTGATACCCTCCTAATATGGGGCGAGCCCATGCACTTAGTGCGACTTTACATGCACAATAAGTACGACGCAGGTGCAGGAGTGCAGAAAAGGAAAAGGACCGTGGTGAGTGCTCCGGAATTCGCCTCGGCTTCCTGCCGAGAAGCGTCTGGAACAAGCAGACCCGGATCGGGCCTCCTTCCCCCTTCCCCCACCCCCGTTTTTTGCGAAACCCTCTTTCCTCCCCTTTCCTGTCCTGGCCGGCCCGGCTGCCGAGGCGGCGCGCGCAAGCGTTTACAATTACATCGCGTTGTAGGAGGAACAATGCTCCCGAAGCCCCCTAGCCGGCCTAGCCCGTCCGCGCAAAAAAAAACGCTTCTCTCGCTCTCTCTAGAGTTCTGTTGCAAGGTTGAATCCGCAAGTGGCACATCTCGGCACTCCAAACTGGTTGTGCTGCTGCTGGTCTCCTCCTCGCTATCGCTGGCCTGGCGCCCGCAATGACATGTCCAAACCAGAGTGCGCCATGGGGCTAATGTGCTCGCCCTTGCAGTGACTTGGCTGGCGCTCACTCTTGGGGTGGTGTTAGAATTTAGACTCTGCTTTTCTTTCTTGGGCCCAGTACTAAAAATTGGTAGTATAGTCGCAGGAGCCGTTGTCCGTCCTTCGGTCCTTTTGTTGAAATCTACTCTGGGCTAAGGCTGAAGAAGGATGTGTTATGGTTCCGACTCTCTTCGTTCGGCATTCGCAAGCCATGGCCTTGCAGGGCTTCTTCGGCTCAGACCTGACAGCCGATATTTCCCGAAAGAGGATGGTTTGGGGAGTCTTGCGGTCAAAACTCACCAATTCTGGGCAGAAAGAGACGTGGTGACCCTCAAAATGCCTTAGGAGCACCCCAATAAGAAGAACTCCCAGACTCCAAGAGCATGACAACCAGAGACGCTCTCCAACATGTCCCCCCCAAAGAAAGAGAACCCTTTTTTGAACCCGTGCTGAGGCCGAACAAAGAGAACCCTAAACCCCTAACCCCTAACCCCTAAACCCTAAACCCTAAACCCTCCTCCGAAACTGATCATTGAAGTGCGGCCGAACTGCAGATCCACAAGCAACGGCCGAACAGCATAACAGCGATTTATATATACACATGTATATGCATGTATGCAGGCATGTATGTATGTATGTATGTATGTGCATCCCTCTTGTGCATCTCAGAGAAGCTCTGGGGCCGAGGCTCCTCTGAGCCTAAGTTGGCAGCAATGCTCAGATATGCTCAGCAGGAATCATCTCCATTCATGGGGGAGGGGTTGAGGGTTTGTTTTTTCGGGCTAGGGCTTCAGGGATCCGAAAACAGGGTTGTGGTCCGTTTTGGGGGGCTCAAGAGACAGGATTGTAGAGTCTCTGGGTACCCTCCCTCTAGTTTTGGACTCGGTCCCCGCTATGCCATTGCAGCAGTGCATCCGCGGAGCTCGACTCACATGCCATGCCAGGCCCCCCATTCCAGACTGTTCCGAGCCGACATCCCTGCACAAGGTCGCACATGCAATGAAAGCAGATTTGCAGCAGTGCTTCTCTGATCTTCTGCATGGGTTGTCTGTGATTGGCCCCCAACTTGGAAAATTAAGCTAGGCTCAGCAAGAATTAGCGTGCTACCACTGGCGAGGTCTTCAGGTCGAGCGTTGCGCAATTGGCATCTCACGGCATCCCTTTCATGCCACCCCCCGCCCCCGCGCCCAGTGTCAGTAGCGCAGGATCTGTTTGCCTCACCGCATTCATGCGTCATGGGAGGCACCACGTGCCTTTGGCATGTGCCCGAATTCGCATGCAGTGGAGTTGGGTCAGCAAGCTACCGGAGATCGTCCTAGCATTATGCCGATCGATGAGCTTCCGTCACACTTGCTCTCTCACCTGTACAGCGCACCCCAACATCTAACAACCTAACGCTGCCTCATAGACCGATGTGCTTCAAGGCTGCCGCAGCTGCTTCACGGACCTTCTGCAGTTCACAAATTGCAACATGCGGTCTTGCCATGCTGGAGTAAATGATGGAATTTGCATCATTTGCATCAACAGCCGTGGCTATCCATGGCTGATGCACTCAGCTCTCGGACTTTTCGTCGCCTGCTTTCCACCCTTGAGTGTTTCTGCCTACTGTGACGGGGTCCCTGACACTACGCAGACGGAATGCCGATCTCAGATCCAGATCTGCGCCTGCAAAGATTTTTCGAAGCACACAGCCGAGGCAGACCCTAATATATGACTTATATACCATTGACACACACCTCTGGTCAAGCAGTCCTGCTCACGCCTGCACCCCTCTTTTTTGTTTGCCAAACTGCATGCGTGCGAAATGCATGCGAGGATGGGTCCTGCGCTGGGTCACTTCACCACTCCATTCGTGCTCTCTCACCCGCCCTCTCCAATGGAGGCTCATTGGGAAGGCTGCTCGGCGGGCTTCGCCTTGCGCACATAGACGCCCGGCGCCTGCTCCTCCCAGTCCCCAGGTGGCTTTGATGTAAGGTCCCAGCCAAAACCGCCCTTCTCTTTGCTGAGGAACTTCTTGAGAAAGGCGATGCTCGTCAGGTTCGATCGGCCCCCAGATCGGGTGAAGAAGGTCGCTCCGGTTAGCCGAAGCTTCCGGTCATACTCGGCTCTCAGCTTGTCATCTCCAAGCACCTCGTATGCGGCAGAAACCACCTTGAAAGCATTCTCAGCCTGCAACTTCAAGTCAGGATCATCATAATGTCCCACTTTGTCAGGGTGGATGCTCAGCGAGACCTGTCGGTATGCGACGCGTATGGCCGCCTTGTCTGCGTCAGGGCTCACCCCAAGCGTCTCGTAGAGGCTGTGGGCTTCGCCCACCTTGTCCAGGACAAAAGGCAGCCGCTCATCCGAGGCGTCCTCCGGTCGCCAAGTGGTCGGGCGTTTCTCCTCTGGGGCCGGCAAAGCCTTCTGCGGTGTCTGTGTAGGCGCCTTGTTGGGGGCCTTTTCCTTCTCCTTTGCAGCTCGTGCGCTCGTGTTGTGTGGATTCCGGTAGTGGAACTCACCGAGGATGAAGTGGCGGACGCAAGAACAGCTGCAGCGGCGACACACCACCTCTTCGAGCGTGTCGCCTGTCCGAGGTCGCTCACCGTACTCGGCGAGCACAAAGCCACGACAGTTGCAGTCCATGCAGCGCCCACGTAAGTTTGCAAGTGGGTCAACGCACAAGTTGCCCTCCTCCATCTCCTCGATGGCAGCTCCCGTCTCTGCTTCCTCCCAAGGCCCAACCACCTCGGCAAAAACCTCTCCACCATTCTCCAGTGGTGCAGTGTAGACTCTGGCAGTGAGGCGGAAGTTCACTTTCGTGTCCGGCGGCAGCTCGTGGACACGCGCTCTGGACATGGTCTCCCTCTGCACAGCCACTGTAGGCTCCTCCTTTTCGGACTCTGCCCAATCCACTTGGTACTCCACCGTCCTTGCTGGGAACTTGGCCCACTCCAGGACAGCAGACTCGGAGACTGCCTGGATGTCCTTGATTGCCGGCATCTGTGCTTGGAGCTGGTGCCCAAAGCCCAAAGTGCCTGCATCCAGCAGCACCCAACCTGCCTTGGATTCACTGGGCTTCGTGGGCTTCGCGGGCTTCTCACCTTCCGGTGCTAACAGCACCCAGGACCCTTGCGGCCATCCCGACACAATCTGACCTCTCTTCAGCTGCCCTAAGCTGCGAGAACTGGTGGAGGGTCGACGGTGGATGGGGAGTTGAGGCTTCAAGACCAAATAGTCCGTGGGCTTCGTGTACAACACGTCCATCAGGCCCACCAGCGGATCCAAACGTAAGGCGCCGACCTGAGCGAAACTTCCGGTCTGACATTCCACTTGCTGGCGAAGGCTACCAGTAGGCTACGAGTGTTTTCGCCATACGGCCCGAGAAGAGAACCACGAGCCCACCTCAGCTGCTTGCTTTCCCCCTCGGTCCCCCTCCCTCCTTGTCACCCCCTGAGTCCCCTCCTCCCCTCCCCCCTTTGGCAATTTGGCCCTCTAATTGCAAACTCCACACGGCGGCCTCTGTAGGATGCTGATGATTTTTGTTGCTCATTTGCAAATGCTCAAGATGGGAAAGAACAGATTAAGGAAAGAGCCCCGTGAATATTCGTCTTCCGCGACGTCTGATTGCAAGCTCCCCGATAGCACAGACCGATGCTCTGGCCTGCGATGTTCCTTTAAATTGTGTAGGGACCGTAGGGATCGACACTTCAGGTGTGCGCCGAAGTTTCGTCCTGTGCGACTTGCCAGGCTCTGCGTCTGGATTAGGGCGGATTCGTCCGAGGGTCGCAGGTTGCCGAGGTGACGGCAACAGCAGCAGGGTCATGCTGCACAAAGCCAAATCATGGCGAAATCATCCACGAGTCATCACAATAATCATGTGGCCGACTGAAAAGAACAGTGGCATTTGAGAACGGTAGTTGAAGGCGTTTCCTTCTCCCGCTGCTTTGCCTTTGCAGGGCCTTCCTAGAGGGGCGCCAAGAAAACACATTCAAACACCAACCTCGTTGTTTGTGTTTTGCAAACTGTTTCTGTTTTGTGCAGATCTTCGCATCCGCCGCATCCGCCACCCTTTGTCGTTCTCCATTCCGGCATTCCGGCGTGTGGTACATAGAGAGCAGAAACACGAAACGGAACATCTTCAAACACCTCTCCATGAATGCTTAGGTCCCCGCCTCATCTTCGCTGTCCGGCTCCACGGGCTTCTTGGAATCTTTGGACTCCTTGGAGTTCTTCGCCTGGGCCTTCTTTGTATCGAGCCGAGCCTCCTGGCGCTTGGCAGCCTCGGCTGCCTTGCGCTGGCGCTCCTCCTCCTCTTGCTGGATCTGTTCTCGGAGATCCGCTGGGGCAAGCTCCTCTGGCACCAGCAGGTCTGACTGGAAGCCGACGGAAGCCCCATCGATCAAGACCCAAGCATCCACGTACTTGGCTTTGGAGCTCACTGAGCCGCCGCGCGGCATGGCGTTCATGGCTCGTGCACACTCCTGGCTGAGGTGCAGCCAGTTGCCCTCGCAGCAGCCGGCAACCTCGGTGCCGCGGCGTAGGGCTCCCAGGGCATCTCCGGATGTGCTGCGCTGGCTCCGAACAAAGATGCGTGGGTGCACGACCAGGTACTTGCGAAGGGGGCGGCTCTCCAATAATCGGGTGGCTGCCGGTGTGCCACTCCGTGCATGGGAATCAAAAGGATCACCACACCGCATGCACTTGATGCTCTCTGGATCCGCGTTGAGCCCCAAGCGCTGGGCGGCGTCTGGGTCTTCCTCTTCCTGCTCCTCCAGACCAGGTCGCCAGATGAAGCCATAGCATTGACAGTTCAAGCACCCAGCCCGGGATGTCCCAAAGGGATCCAAGCAGGAGTCTGCATCCTCCTCATCTTCAGTCTTGATCTGCAAAGTCTGTGACTCGATCCATGGGCCAGCAAACCTCACCTCGGGCGGTGAATCTGCGCCTGGCGTTGTTGGTCCACGAATCCGGACGGCCACATGCAGCTCGAAGGGCTTCCCCGGAGGCATGTTGGAGACCACCTCCTGCGGCTTGTGGCACACGGCATGCCCGGCGGCTCCTGACTTCTTACAACGCCACTCGACGATGTAGACCACTTTCACATCTGGCTTTAGGAGGCCCTTGAAGCCAGGCCATGCAACGTCCACCCCCTCCAAGTAGCGTGCTCGCACAGTCGGCAACAAGCACTGCACAGCCAGGCTGCGACCGATGTGAACCCAACCGCTCGTGCTGCTGCCGGGCTGCAGCCTTAGCCACCCAGAGCCCGGATACCCATGGACCATCTGACCGGGTGAGAGCACGCGGAAGCTCTTGGAGTTGGGATCCGGGGATTCGTGCACGGGCACCGCCTCGCGGACTTCGTACTCAAGGGGCTTCGTCAGCCCGCTCAAGATCTCTGCAGCCCGCTTGGCCGCCGCCTTCACCGCTTCGTGGTCCACCTGCGGCTTTTCAGGGGCGGGCTCAGCTGCTGCCGCTGCCGGTGCTGCCGCTGCCGGTGCTGCCGCTGCCGGTGGCTCTGCCGCTGCCGGTGCTGGTGGCTCTGCCTTCTCTGCCTCTGCTGCACCCTCTGACCCCACCGCGCTCGGCGTTGCAACATCCTTGGTGTTCGGCATGCCCGAAATGCTCTCATTCTCCTCCACCTTTGGCTGCTCCATGCACGGCCTGGGCTCTGGCTCTGCAGGCTCCGTGCACTTTGTGGGCTCCGGGCTCGGGGCCTCTGCAACTGCAGGCTCTACCGCAGCAGGCTCCGCCACGGTGGGCTCTGCCGTGGTGGGCGCTGCCGTGGTGGGCGCTGCCGTGGTGGGCGCTGCCGTGGTGGGCGCTGCCGTGGTGGGCTCTACCACGGTGGGCTCTGCGAGTTGTTGTGGGGACCCCTCGCGCGTTTGGACTTTCATGGCCTCCTGGACCGGCTCGGTGTGACTCTCGGGCCTCTCGGGCCTCTCGGGCCTCTCGGCCGTCGGCGATGTGGATTGAGGTGTGCACGTGGGCGTGCAGGTCGTGGCCGTGTTTGCATCCGTCGCCAGGTCGTGAACCAGGTCATGAGGTTCGAAAGTGGCTTCTTGGCCGTCCTGTGCAGACCCAAGAAGCGGCGGCCACTCGCTGAGATCCTTGTGTGCAGAGTTCAGAAACTCCTCAATCTCCTTCTCCTCTTCTTTTCGGAGGATCTCCCTCCACTCATGCACGAAGACGCGCAAAGCCTCCTCTTCCTCTTCTAGCTTGGCAGCCATGGCAGTGAAGCGACGAAGTGTGGCTGCCAGATGAAAACCTTTGCACCCTGGTGCTGTTTGTGTTTCTGCTGGCGAAGCCGCTTCGCCGTGCTTGGGAAGCCAAAGCATTGTGTTTTTGCAGGCACGTGTCGCAGGTGTTGTCTTTGAAAAGCATGAACCCTACAATGCCGTACTTTCAAAGCCGCGAACGTCCGAGAAGGGAATCGCTGTCCTCAGAGCTGCGCTGGTGCCTAGTTCTTTCAAAGCTGAGGCATATGAAGGTCTTTTGATCTGCAGCGCACTTTGTTGCTTGCTTCTGTACTCGATGCGGCGCTGATGAGCTGCACCGGAAAATCATGTGCAGTTCTTCTGCAGAGACAGCAATGGACTGGCTTTTGGTGCTTGTGGGCACTGCCATCATAATTACTCTCAGTTTCTGCATGGTGCCCCACATGTGTGGTCTCATGGCCAGGAAATTGGCGCATGAGGGGAGCGGATGACACCTGGGTATGGCGAGGGCACGTCGAAACGTTGCAGTGCAGTGCACGGGGCGGCAAAAACACGCCACCTCGCAAGGCTTCTGGACTGCCAAGCTGCAGTGGGGCTTGGGAGCATGCTCCTTCCAGAAGTCCTCTGCAACCGTTGGGAGTAGGATAGCTGAGTAGGATTTAAGATAATTTGAGATACTTTAAGGCGCAGGGGAGAGATCGGAGATGCAGAGGTTCCGAGGCTCGGCCTCCGGGAGCTTCGGCGCGTGCGACTTGAGCTCCGGGGGCGCCCACTCCTCGAAGGCCGGCAGAGGAACCTCGGAGATCGCAAGCCGAGGATTTCTAATCAACCCTATAAGGGCTTCGTTAATCAAGCTTCTGAGCTATCTTCAATTGAATCCTGCCAATGCGCATTTGCACTACCCACAACCCCTTATCCGAAGTGTCCATCGAGTTGCGACCATGTTGCTGCCACATGGGCTCTCAACATGGGCCCCCATGACTAGCTAGGATGGCCCTTAAAACCCTCTAAAAAACTATTCCTGAATACAGTCCTCTTTAACCCTCTTATATAACATGGCCCAAGGGCCTACGCAGTTAGCTACACAATATACGACCTTTGCCGTCGGCCGAAGAAAGTTTGATGGCCCCGCCTGCAAAGGCTGCGCGCTGCAGTATGGCCTTTAGGGGGGCAACGTATAGCAAGGGAGGGGAGGTTCCCATCATGTCCCATCTCTCTGGAATTCTCTCGGAGGATTGGGTGAATATGGGAGGTTTTTCAGGTCTTGTGCCCCTTGCCTCGCACCAGGCTTGGCCAAATACTGCTGATGGTAGTCCTGCGCTTTTTGGCAAGCACCCTCGAAAGGCAACATCTCACAAGCTGCTGCTTGAATGTTCCATTGACATCCTCGGCATAATAGAAGGGCGTCTCGAAGTCGGACGCAGCCACAATCTCCGTGGTGATGCTGCCGGTCTTGCCTTCAAAGCACGATAAAGGTGCACAAGACACTGTATGACTTGACATGACATGACATGCACGGTACACATATGACGGATGGAAAAGCACGCGTGGAATCCTTTTTGACACAAGTTTGGCCTCTTCTGGCTTCAAGCAGCGCCTTCTCGTAGGCTGCTTTGCCTCAAGGCGGTCTGAATCAACGCGTTCCGCAGCGAAGCGCAAACACTCTAAAGACCCTCCGCAAGGCCCAATGATGTCCTTTATATAACTTATGACCGTATTAAAACCCTACACTTGGTATGGAATACTATCATCGTGAGCAGTTAACCCCTGAACAGCAAATCCTGAAACCTGGTGTCCTGCGGTTCACCGGCGGGGTGCTGGCGCGCATAAGCTGCTCTTGCTCTTTGTCGAAATAGATCAGCGCGCTTCCTGGGCTCGTCCGTGGCAGGGGTCATGTCTGGGGGGGCTTTTGGTGCTTTTGAAAGGGCTTTGGAGGTGGATGTTGCTGGATGTTATCGGGGGGCTTCAAGAGCAGAGGCTTCTTCTGCGAGAGTCGGTACTGGGTGCCGCGATCGTTCCCCTGCCCCATGCCCTGGGTCGGATCGTGGGATTCCCAGAACCAGCGCAGAATGTCCACCAAGCTGATCTTCTCTGGATCGTAGACCTTGCGGGACTGCGAAGGGAATCGCACGGCATTCTGCACATTCCTATGTATTTCCTGCAGGCACAGCTGAGGGTGAACTTGAGCCAGGCTGCAACCTGGACGGCCTCTGTGTGGCCTGTTCGTCCGCTGCAGCACTCCTGGCCGGGAAGCTGTAGGACACCACCCATGACAAGGCAGGACAAGGTACGACAACCTATGCCGCATGCAGCTATTCGCGAACTTGAGTCCTCATAGGTAGGATTGGGGGTCTGCCCAGCCGCATATCCCACCGCAGTGGCATGGATGCCTCCACCTGCTTACGTCAACAGGTGCCCACTTGATCAACGAGAGATGCCGCGACGCAGCTGCAGCGCCTAGCCTGGGAGGCGCCAAAACCCTTTCTCCGAGCCCCAGAAGCACCCATTGGCCAACACGCAAACCTGTCAAGGACCAGGGGATCACACCAGGCCCCACACAAGGCCGCAGATGACATGGACCATGTTAATCATCAAGCGCAAAGATGCCGGCACCCGACACCAAGTTTGGAAACTCTTCCATGATCATGGCTTGCAAATCTTGTAACGAAGGAAGGTTCGGAGGCATCATGTTGCCTACTGGACTAGGAAAACATCACACAGAGCCAAGCTGAGATCAGCCAGACACCAGTGTCTTGCTCGTGAAGATACACATTCGCCCCAGACTGCAATTTCTGCATCTTAAGGTATGAAACGCGATTGTGGAGGGCAATGCGCGGCAGATAAGAAGATTGCGCTACGCGGTATCCCAATGTCATCCCATGGTCTTTCTCGAAGCCAAGCCTTCATGTTCTCTGGCCACGGCCCTTCCATAGGCGTCTTCCTAACATAAGGAACAGAAGACCATCATAGAAAACATCAGCCTACTGTCCCCGTGGCAGCATTGGTGAGAGGCTTCGCAACTTCAACTGCCAACAAGGTGCAAGACGAAATGCCTTGGGCTCACCTGCATTTTCTCGCTCCGCCCTTTCCTCGGCCATAAACAATCAACCTAGAGCGACAGAAACGCGCACGCGCACTTGACAGGGTCACAAGAGACCGAAAAGGGATTTGCCGAGCATCATCTTTGAGCCTGCGGTGCTGCCACTGCCGCCCATGAAAAGCCACAAGAGCCGGGGGGTCAAAGCTACAAAAGTTCTGTGAGTGCAGCGAGCCAAGCGCACACCCCAACACATATTTCAAAGTAATTCGGCATGCAAACGGACACGGCCGTGTCTTGACCCCAATACCCCAATCACGCCTCGAGCGCGGACGAAAACGGGGGCACTCCATGGCTTCGAACCAAGGCCGAAGCACTCCAAAAGAAGACATAGAATGTACAAAAATGCAGATGGCTTTGCTGAAAACTACAGCCCGCAAACTTACTGTAGGCACTTTGTGTAGCGCTTCGAGGGTTCATCGCGGAGCCACGCCCCGGCAGCATGAAAATGCGACAATGCGCGGGCGTTCGTGGCCACACGATGGTAGAGTCTTCTGAGTGGCTGAGGCACGATGCCTCGTCATCCCGATCGGTCGACTCCATCACCAACAAGTGGTCCTGTCTCACTCGCTCAGTTAAGGAGAGGGGGGGGGGAGGAGAATAAAAAAGGAGCTCAGCCATTGCATGGGTCATGCCGTCATGCCCGCCTTCCGTGTGTGCACGGCCTTGGGGCCCAGGTTGGCGAGGGCTTGCACCGCGACGAGCCGGTATCTGGGAAGGCACTCGACACAAAAAACATGCCCAAAAAAAGGATGCTCCCGGCACACGCTCCGTGGTGCCCGCCTCGGATTCCGGTGAAAGAGCCCGTCGTCTAAGTTGTGGATGTGGGGCATAACCTCATTCAACACTCCCTCTTCCACCAGCTTCACTGATGGCTTCACTGGTGTCTTCACTGATGGCCACTGACCGCCACCGTGTGACTGCAAAGGCTCAGAGAGCGTTTGGGCGCAGGACGGCCTCTGGCTCCAGTTGCCCCAGCGCCCACCTTCCGGCAGCGAAGCCGGTTTTTCTATAAGACGAGGGATAGAAGCAGCACATAGCAAAAAAATGAACGATCCAGTCCGCCGAGGCCTCGGGCGGAAGGTGTATAGGTTGTCAGAACAGGCCTCCAAATCCTCCTGCCAGACCCAAAGCCACCCTTTTTTTTACCTGAAATCCACCCCCCCCCCCCCTCGCCCCTGCCCCCCCGCTTTTGCTTAACTTGAGGAACCTTGAACTCTAAACCCAAATGAGACCTAAGCCCTCAACCCTACACTAACCCTCAACCCTAAACCCCAAACCATTGCCATAAACCATAAACCCGGAACCCTAAACCCCCAAACCCAACCATTATTGCTTGGGGTCCAGCGACTTGGGCGCTGCAGAATCACCATGCTCACGCGGATGCGCTGGGCCGGGCCGAGGCGGGTCGCGCAGCGTTAAAACGAACAAAAGAATTAGATAATTAGATCGCACAAACGCCACGAAATCCAAAACAAAATCCCTGTCAGAGACCGGCTCCCATCGAGTCCAACGACGCCTCGTCCTGAAACCTACAATCCACCAATCCTTCGAATTCATACCGACTCATTTCTTGTCATCTTTTTCTCGTTCCTTTGTGGATTCTGAGCCCCAAGGCCCTTGGCGCCGTGATTTCTCCGGTCAAGTTCTTTAAGAACTCCTCTATTTCTAGCCATGCCCCTTCTCATGGGGAAGCTGGTAGTAGGCTGCTTGGCGGTCCCGGCAGAGAATGGATGGTGAAACTATTTCGTGACTTCAAAGGCGTCTTGTACCGACTTCAAGAGCGACTTGACAAGGCCCTTGGCAAGCATCCTGCTGACTTCCCGTCGGACTTGCGGCTGTGGCTGTGGCCATCTCTGGAGAATCCTGGGTACCTCGAGCAGCCTGTCTTTTTGGTCGCGATTTGCCACGCCGAGACGCTGGGTTTGCAACAGGATGATCAGGAGGTTGGTGTACAACAGGATGCTGATCTACATAGTAGCCGGAACCCTGCGGTGTCGGCATCATGTGAACCATGTGGTTGTAGGGATTCATCGCGACCGTCTGTGGCACGTGCATGGCCATCTGTGGTATGCCCATGGCCGGCATCACCCTTGGCGTGCCATGAGGCGGCTGCACATATGATCCGCTCCCCCTTCCGCCCTTCAACGTCTGCACCACCTTCTGCGCCTCGATGTACATGACGGGCGGCATCTGGCCAGGAGCAACAGTTGAAGGGTTTCAAGGTTTTAGCTTTCGGGGCTTAGGCGGCTCAGGTTCAGGATGTATTTCGGACAGCGACTCGGTGACAGCTTGCCGCGCCTCGCCGCGTTTTTGGCCACATTGGCAGCAAAACGGCCCGCTGTCATTGACAATGCTGCGGCAAGCTGCGCAGATCTGACAGGGCTGGACGGTTTGTTGCTCAGATGTTGTAGAGGCTGTGCAGTATCTAGACTCTGAGGCTAGGGATTCTGGGTTCGTGGTGAAACTTATGGATTCCATTCTGGCATCACTCCGGCGTGAAGGTAGCGGCGCCTCTAGGTCGCTCTCCATTTCATCCATAGGACGGATCGGCGCTTGTGCTGCATCACTTCGTGGAGCACAGCCACCTCCTCTGCTTTCGTGGGATGCGCTTAGCCTTGGCGGTGCCGTTGACGAGCCATCCCAAACTTGTGCCTCATCTTGGAAGTTGACAGATCTATTCGAGGCGATCGCTTCTGCGGACGAGCCTGAATCTTGGTGGTGGAGGCTGTCCTTGAGTCCATTGGGGCTGCCATTCCTAACAGAATAAACTGAATTTCGGCTGGGGGAACCATATTTGTCATTTTTTACCCCCTGCTGCCACTGCAGCGTGGTGACCGGGGTTGCTGGGGCATCTGGGAGGCTGGTCTTGGTGCCCCTTCTTTGCTTATCGACTGTTGCGTCCTCGGACGGAGCACGCGACTCTGTCTCTCCAACCTCTGCTTTGTAAGGTTGGTAGTGGCTGAGACTCATCCAATTTCGCAATATGACGAGCGTGGTGAACATCATCATGAGGATGGTGAGGATCCAATGGATCGCACCATAAGAAGTGCCCACCCATATACAAATAGCCACAGCAAAAAGGAAGTAGGACTCCATCAAGAAAATTAATGCCTCGCCCACAGTGCTCTTGCCTCTGGGGTCATACATCAAGTAGTTGTAGACGTCCTTGTCCGTCATGGCGCTCAGGTAGAAGTAGTTCAGGGCGCAGAGCATCACACACAGTATGCAAAGGAAGATGCAGTACATGCATATGACAATGTACGTTTGCCTCAAATGCATTCTGAAATCTGGATGCAGACAGAAATATTGCGGATCAAGTTCGTGCCCCTCCACAAACATCCCCGCAATTGTTGTCATTACCAGCGCTGTTGTGACACTGTTGACCTCATAGGCTTTGCAAACTGTGTCTTTAAGGACTGAGTTTTTGCACTGCTCGAGCAGGTCCTGTCCGAGCTTTTCCGAGGCGCAGCACCAGAGTGCAAAGTGGATCGGCAGGAAAACTAATGAGATCACAATTGGTGCCGTCCATGTCCCGTCGTCCGGGCTCCATTCCACGTATGGCACATTTGTCGCGTTGAGGGGGCATTCGAATGTGGACATCCTGGTCGGCGACACATTGACTGCATCGCTTCACTCAAGCTTGATCCGAAATCTAGCTGACATGATGCCGTGGGTGAGGCGTGCGTGGGACCATACAGTCTGGCTACAAGTTGTGTGACTAGGTCTAGGTACTCCATCCTCACACAACCCAGCACCAGAGATGGAATTCGGAAATTGCTCTCCTCTGCGCGAACTCTTGGGTGTGGGAAGGCAGCGTTTGGGTCTTGGGAGAGCTGAGAAAGCCCTGGTGATAGAGTGCTCTGAGGCAGCTACATGCAGGCGGTGCGAACCTCAAGTCGCTCACCTCATTTGTTTGCGTCACAGCGTCACAGCGTCACAGCACGACGCCGAAGGACACAGTTGCGCCAAGGACCGGGGACCAGACTCAGGTCTGCGTCGGGGTCATCGCCTGCAGTCAAGAAGCACTTGGGGTGTAAAGTGTAAAGTGTTACATAAAGAGAGACCAAGCCAGGAACTTACGAAAGAGGGTGCTCTCCATGTCCCCTAGTTCCGCCGAGAGGCTCTTGACACCAGGGCGGGTGCCCAGCATCCGAGTGCACAAGCCGTGCGCATTCTTGGATGCGACCTGCTCAGTGCTTGGGCCATCAGCTTATCTTAAGTCAACGCCAAAATCGCACGAGCTCTGTGGAGACTCGAGGCTCCTGCCTTGCCCTGCTTGCCAAGAGCCAGTGCCGCATTCCTTCGTACTTCTTGGTCCAGGTTGTGCAGCGCCTTCGCTTGCTTCCCGCGTTCTTTGCACTTTAACACTGAAAGAGTCCGCTACAGAGAGAGCGAGCGAGGGAGAGAGAGAGGGAGCGCCAAAAAAACAGGAGCACAAGCGAACAGTGCTGTTTGGCCAGAAAATGCTTGTACTTGCATGCGTAGACCCATGCTTTACTGTCCACGCGCATGACAGACAGAGACAGACGCGGACTGACTTGCGGGCAGATATAGGGAAAAACATAAACACACACATACGTCCTTATGCTTACTTACGTACATGTTTTTGTCTATATATATATATGTGTGTTTATTTATGTTTTTACTTATTTCTTTCTGCATATACACACTTATAACGAAACCTAACATAAAATCTTCAGCTTGACGAAGTGGGATTGGCCGGGCACTTGCCTTGGCCAGAACCGGCTGACTCTGTTCCGCGCCGAGTGGGCCGAGCCTCACAGGATGCTTCCAAAACAAGTCCAAATAATGTAACCATCTAGCAATACGATAATTTAAACAGAGCAGAAGATCATATGACAATTAGTATACTCTAACAAAATCTGCCCTTTGTGGAGTTTTCACACCGATAGGCTCGTGGAGCAGCTCCGTGGCAAGTGTCCGGACGTACCAGGAGTCGTCGCTCCTTAAGCAGGCTCAGATACTTGGCGACCCGAACCCCGAATCAATCTCTCTGTCCCCAGGCATGTGCCCCCGGAGTGGCGCAAAAGATGGCGAAACGTGCGGGAGCGATTTTTGTCAAGGCCCGCCGTTCTTCTTGCACAACTCTCCCTAAGTCCTTCTGCAATCGTCAGAGCACACTTGCCACCTCTTTGCACAAGTCCCAGGGCTGCATGCCTCTTCGCCATGGCTTGCCATCTCCGGTCGGATCCTTTCGGAGGTTGTTGTGCATCACGCAGCCCTGATGCTGCTCAAGAATGTCCACGACATCCCTGATACCTTGTCTGCCGTGGCTAAGTCGGGCAGCACCGTGCCGGGCCGTTTGCCAAGGGGCCCATTCGCCTCGCCCACACTCGAGGACCTTGTCAACAGACCCTTCAGTGAGGGCCGCAGCGGCTCCACCAGCGGCTCTCCAGCGGAACATCTACACGTACCAGGCTTCGTGGTAGCTGCCCAACAAGCCTGGGATCGTCCCAAATCAATTAAGGGAGCTGCAAGAGCTACCAGCTTATTAAGGAGCAATTATGATGCAATTGCGGCCATCTGCAGCTTGGCTGCCCAGACCCTTCGCCGCCGGGGTGTGGTTCAGCCACACCTAGAAGCTCTCCGTTTCCCCATGCCGCATGCTGCCTTTTTGCACTTATAGATGTGAACTCCGAAACACGAAGACGACCAGGCACAGCATGGCGAACAGCTTAGGGGCTCACCTCAAATCTTAGGTCCCGTGAGTGCGCCACCCGGCCCAGCCGCCACCTGCTGTGTTCCATGACGACACATGGCGGGGTCTCGAAATCATGTACAGCAAGACCATGCGGACGTCATCAGAAAAACTCACAACTGCCCTGCTTCGTGCTAACACGTGCGCGAGGCACGCGCACGTTGGCCATTGGTCATGGCTATGCGTGGAGCATATTCTTAAATAAATAAATATATATATATATATACACACAGATATATATATATATATATATAGATGTGTACAAGTATATGGGTGATGCGGTGCGTGTGTATATATGATATCACTAGTACTATCTTAGGCACATCGCCTTTCTGCACCTGGCCTGCCGCGCAGCTCGTCGCCCTTCAGCGCAGCGAGTCCCAGCTGCGCCACGGGGCCAAAGAGATCCACAGCCTGGCTCGACTCCGTTTAGCGAACGGAATACGAAGCATCCTCACTTTATGAGGGTTCTTTCTGTGGTGGTGTAGACTTCAATGACTATATGCATATAATGTATAGATATATAGATATAGATAGAGGTAGAGATAGAGATATATATATATATATAGAACAGCCGTAGGTCCATGTGAGCAGGGTTCCTCAGGGAAGAAGCCGAAGAGCTGCTGGCCCCAGTGGGTTGCCTGTGACTTTGACAGATGGAAGAACAGAACTTCTCGAAGCCACTCAAGGCCCAGAGTTTGCAGAGAGCAGAGGTTTGTTTGTTTTCGGCTTTGGCTCTCTGCCACTTGTCGGTGCCTTGTTGAAGGGGCTCGTGCTCAGCTTGATTTCAGCTGGCTCTGTGGCAGGACTCTTTACGGATCCACGAAAGTCAATGTCGAAGAAGCCGCACAGCCCGCCGACCTCAATGCCGAGCCACGACAGAGATGGATTGCAGGTTGACATTTGTGGAGTCACTGGCGGACTTGTATTTAGTGCAGCAGAAACTCGGTACCATCCTCGGTGATAGGAAGCACAATGTCCTGAGCTGGGGGGCAGATCGGGGCAAGTCGGGAGCAAATCGGGGCAATGTGGGCGTTGAAGGGGTCCGTGGAGCGGCTTGCCAGCCGAGCCTCGAAAGACTCTGCATGGAGATTCTGCAGCCTTTGAAGGATCTTCGAGCACAAGAGAGTTGTGGATAAGAGGTGCATGTCAGTGCCTCGTGAGTGGCAGGCTGGCAAGGTCCAGCGCCAGCAGCTGCACCGGCGGACCACGGAGTTGGGACGCGTTGAGCTGCACCCAATCCCAGGTTTGGAGGTGGTACTCACTGGCCTCATACCAAGAAAGAAAAAGCACAGGGGGGAAGCTCTCCCAAAAGGCAAGCAGAGAAGAACGACGTCGAGCGCTTAAGCCGGCTTTGCGCGCATTTCGGCGGCGCCTGCTCCTCCTTCTGCTTGGTTAAGGCGTCGTAGCTCAACCCTGAGGCTTCGGCTCTTCACATGCGAGATCTTGGGACATGGAGGGAGCTATGGATGTCCGCATTGTGAGATTGAAGTTCTGAGAGAATCCATGGGGTGTGGGCGTGGTCCAGATTTTTTGCTAGGCGGCCAAAGCTGGTGTGCATGTACTGCAAGAAGCTGTGCCATGCCTTAGGCTGCACTGGACCCCCAACCACTCATCATAAAGTAGAGGCTTCATGCAACAAACTGTTTCTCATGCACATGGAGATATAAAATTAAGAAGCATTCTCAGAGAACGTGGAACCAGGTGCATGTGGCCAAGGCACCCAAAGCTCGTCCACGTAGCCCTGCCAGCGCTCGGCAAAGCAGCCGTGGGCGCACGGCGCGATAAAGAGCCGAGCGTGAGAGGGGAAGAGTCTGCCTCCTGGGTCTCTCAGAAAGCTGCCATGCATCACTCCGTCCCACCTTGAGTGTGTGACCAATGTAGTCTACTGCTCCCACACACCTGGCTTCAAGAAGCGATCCCTGGCGATCAGCACCGTGTCCAGCATGGATTCCTTCCTCGGATGCACCAAAACCCCAGTAGCGGCAGAAGAAAGCTGAGACATGTGCAGCCACGTGTAGACTTGCGTCAGAAGGAAGTTCCCCATCCACTCTGAGATGATGACGTCCACCTAACAGCTCAACATTGGGCCAGTGATGACAGCCGTCGCAAGACAAAGGGGGGAGCTGCATTGTGTTTCTCCATTGCTGCTGAGAAGTTTGGATCTAGCTGAACCAGCAGTAGCACCAGCGCAGCAGCAGCAGCAGCAGCAGCAGGAGGAGGAGGAGGAGGAGGAGGAGGAGGAGCAGGAGGAGGAGGAGGAGCAGGAGGAGGAGGAGGAGCAAGAGCAAATGGAGGAGTGCCAGTAGTAGTAGTCGTAGTGGCAGTGGTTGTAGTAGTGGAAGTAGTAGTAGTGGTAGTAACGGTGTAGTGGCGGATTCGATGATCGATTTGACTTTGGGGCGCCCAGGCCCAGGCCATCTCGGGAAGCTCGATGGACTCCACCAGGCCCCGGATCACTTCCACCACCCCCTCCAAGCCGTTCTCAGCCACCACCTGCACTTAGCTCCACTCTTTCATGTATGCGGGGGGGGGGGGTCTGAGCCTCTACACCGCTTCTTCCTGGGCTTTCATGGGGTGGCGGCCATTTTCGGCGGGCTTCGATTCGACCCCCTTGACACCTCTACGGGCCTGCTTTGCTGCCCAGGCTGCGTCCGAGGCCTCCACGGCGTAGACTTTCCGCGCGCCGGCCTCGCGGCCAGGAAACACTCGGAAGAGGCGTTGGCCATGTGGAGTTCCTACACATCTAGAGCTTTGAACTTGAAATCCGTCACGTCTCTGACTCCTCATGGCTCCCAACGTTCAACGGCGCCTTCGCGGCGAACATGGCCAGCACGCCGGTGCCACAGCCGACATCCAGCACGACCTCACAGGCGTCCCACACAGGCCACAGGCACGAGCGGGCGTGACGCCCCGGCCAGCTCGCACCTTGTCCCGGAAGTCTTCAGCATGGATCTGAATGGCATCTCGGTACGCCTCCGTGCGAACGGAGTCCTGGAGCATGGTCATCCTCGGATGCAGCGGCACATTGCTCCACAAGCGGCTTCTGAGAAGTGCAACCATGTGCAACCCAGGCAGCTGCTCATGTAGGCTGCCGTACTGGTTGAAGTAGCTCTCCTCATGTGCACTTGCACTCGCGTGCAGTCGCAAGTAACCCGCTAACCTGTTCCTTCGGAGGTTTTGACACCCTTTGGCTCAACAATTCCTACTTCGCAGTGGCAGTCTCCGTCCGCCACGCATGGCTTGCCTTGTCCTCTTCGCTTGGTGCAGAACCATCCAACATCGAGAGCCGCTCTGGATGGGACTGCTGGACCACCTGCCAAGAACTCTTCGAACAGCATGCCAAAAGCCTATAAATCTATAAAGGCCCCAGTAAGCCCCAAAGAACCCTACAGACAAAAGACGCAAAAGACATCAAAAGAGCTCCGGAGGGAGACTTTGGCCTCCAAGACCGCTGGTCCTCGGCTGCGTGGTGTGGGACATTCTCCGTGATCCCAGTCCTGGCGAAAGCGCTTTTTGGGGGGTGGGGGGGGGGGGGGGGGGACCCGATGATGAGGTGACCCCCCACACGGACATCAGTTCCGGCATTTCCAAATGTTCTTGATTGATGCTATTTTATACATGTACAATCCCCATTACAACGAGACACCCGAAAGGGATCCGCATTTCGAACGGCGCCCAGCCTTTGCCTGGCAAGCACTTCGGCGAGGACGGAGGAAGCAAACGCCACTGAGGCCTGGAAGGGATTTTGATGCAGCACACGCTGTGCGGCTATGCGCGCACAAGCGCCGAGAAACCCAGCAAAGCGCCTTGACCTTTAACTCAAGGCACCCTCAACAGTGCGGGCAGCTGACCGAGTCAAGGCCATAAAGGAATGATGGTTTTTGTGAAACCACTGCCCTCCGAACTCCAAATTGACTCCTTCCTTAGCTCACATCCTCCAGCCTTTAAACGCGACAAGGGGGATGTGAAGCCCTCACCCAGGCCTATGCCGGCCCAGAACGCCACACTGCAGCGGCCGCAGCGGCCGCGGCGGCGGCCCATGCTTATGCCATCTGGAAGATTCGTGATTTGTACTTGAACTTGGTTGCAGGACAAGGCGGGCAACAGCAAGTTGAAGCAGCTGCTGCTGAGCTGGTCCATCCCTTGATCGTTTTGTTGGTGCCTTGTGCTTCCAGGCATAGCACGTGTACTGTAGACGCTGGATGGTTATGATACATATGTTGCACAATGTTGGGCCAGAGATGAAGACGGAACGGTGCGTCAGAAGTCGCTTGGCACAGATGCAGCCAAGAGATGCCGAGTGCCCGTCAACAGCAGGGCAAGGTCGTGAGCATATGTCGCCACCTCAGGCAACCACAGCTTTAGCTTTCGCGGGAAATCTTACAGGGTAGGGCCTGGGCCTAGTCTCTCCTCACGGGGCTCCTACGCACTCCTACTCCAGTTTCCCCATGACAACTGGACAGCCACACCACCCGCGGGTACTTTGCCTCGCCCTTGTTGTCACAACTCGCAGTTGCACCATTTCGAGTTACAGCTCGAGGTGCCTTCGAACACACAAGCCTCGAACATGAGACAGAGAGGAGTGAACGGATCGAGACACCACCTCTCTCCTTAATCCTCGTCATTCGAGAAAAACCGGACTCCAACACCAGCAACTCTAACTTTGAGATGTCAGAGATCCAAAGACTTGCGTGTTCAGAATATGGAATTGTTTATGGAATGAGAGAACTCCTATAAAAGGCACTCTGAGCTCTGGGCCGCTTCGGTGCCCAAGGCCCGCATCGCCCGCAAAGCTCCCCAACCTCGCATCCGCAGAGCACTCCCGGCCCACTCCCGGCGCTTCTTTGGATAGGGTGGGCCTTTGTCGACCGTTCAAGGGTCCGGGCGCGCAGCCACGTGCTCGGACTTCAGGGCACTGGCGAGCTGCGCTGCGTACTCAGCGGCGCCCTCAGCGAGAGCCCTCAACTGCAACCATACCGCGCTGAGTCAACGAGCAGGTGACAGCATCTGTCAAGGCATGCAGAGCTCTGCTTAAGCAGGCTTAGCGCTGCAAGGGGCAGATGATCGCGGCGGAAGCCCAAAGCACGGCGCGCAAAATCCATTCTCCGTGACGGCTGAATCGGACGCTATTTCAAGATCAGCAATTGTTCTTGGGACTGCCGTGCACGCTTCTCATGTTCGAGATCATATAGTATACGCCACTATACCAAAAAATGATGATATTCTTACGAGCCCCATAAGGCCAAGACGACGCGGCCGCTCAACGCCTCCAGCACACGGATGGCCGCCAGCTGCACGTGTGGCACCTGCTTGCAAAACGAGCGTCGGCAGGGTGCTCGTTCCTCCATCTATGCCGAAAACTCGGATGCATACGACCCCTGAGAGTTTTGTTGTCAGGGCACTGCATGGAGGCTTCATGTTCAGTGTGGCCTTGCGTTGTCTTGCTGCTTTGCCTACTTTGCCTACTTTGCCTACTTTGCGACCACAGCACAAGCCTACGTTCGGTGTAGCTTGGTGCCTTGTCGTCCAGCGCAGTGCTCATGAGGCGTGGTATTGCCTTCAATGGTGTCGGTTGCTTGTGTGGAGCACTGAAGTTAAGCATGGCCCACCACGGCCCGCTTTGCAAACTCTCAGTTCCTAGGCCTTGACTAGGGCTCGTGCAATCAAGCAAGGGATGGGTCCAGGTTACACTGACAAGCAGTGCAGAAGAATTCGGCAGGCTGTCTGTTTGGACACTGTATTCGTTACTGCCAGTCGTCTCCACGACGTCGTGCAGCCTTCTCCGCCGGGCTCTGCGCTTCAGGAGAGGTGCCACCCTCAGCTCAACAAGGCCCTTGGCCTACCATCGCTTATGGGCTACTGTACATCCTACTGTACATCCTGCTTGTCCTGCAAGGCTGTCGCATGGGGCAGCCTGCCATGGGCCATAGGATCATTTACTACTCAGTGGCCCTCTTTCAGGGCGATCTCAATGTGCCTCATGGTCTAAGCTGCCCTTCTGAAGTCATCGCGCAGGCATTTCAAATATAAATCAGGATGTAAGCAGCACTGTAAACATAAATGCAAATGAACACAGATAAAGACATACATATATAGATATATACGTATAATACATGAGAAAAAAGAAATGCAAGCAAAACGAACAACACAAAACACAAATGCATCAGCCAACAAGAAAAGCTGCCTATTTGTGGGTATACGAAGTAGGAGCGACGCAGTACAAACCTATGAAACCTCAAAACTCTACAAAAAAAAACTCTCCTAAGCTCCACTAAACTCCACTAAAACTCGACTAAACTCGACTCTGTGAAAGACAAAGTAGGCTCCCGGCCGAGGCGGGAGAGCCAGCCTTGGTAGCTGAGGGGGTCCGGGCCACCTGACTTCTGGAAACCCCCCCCCCCCCGAAAAAAGAGGAGCCCCTACTACATGCTAAATACAAACCCCTGTACACATCGCGTGGCGGCGCCCCAGCCCCCTCAGAAAGGGCCCCAGGCTTCACGTGGCGGCTCCACGCACAAGAGGGTCAGAGCCGCCAGCTCCCGGACATCATCGTCCACGTCCTGTTTGTCTTTGGCTTTCTGCAGGTTGCTTTGTCGCTCTTTCTCTCTGTGTGTGCGGCTGCGTGTGCGTGGCTGCAAGCCACTTCTCTGGTCCAGAAGGGCCGTTCCCACAGCCGTGGAATGTTCCGAAGCCAGGGGCCCTCAGCGAAGCTCGGACGGACTTGAAATTGAAAGCATCACGGAATATTTCCCCGTGTTTGTGCGCGCCTTGTGCGCGCAGAGCTTCCACTGCTGCCAACCTGATGATCTGAAGCACACGACTCGTGTACATGGCTTGTACGCTGTGCGTGGTGTGCATTGCTCACGGCCCGACTTGGTGGCCGAGTCCTCGTGGCCCCCTGCGTGCAATGCGAACGAGACATCAAGAAACAAACCCACACTATCCTGCCCTGAATTTCAATCTGCGAGCGAAATCCTTCAAACTACAAACAATCGCCTCGGCTTGAGGTGTCAGGCGTTGTGAAGTGTTCCACACCAGTCAATACGAACATTTCTCTTCCATACCCGCCATACCTGTACACAACCCCAACGACACAAACACCCGACAAAAAGATGACACGTACAGACGACTTCAGGAAGCAACTCCCCGGAGCGCGATGAGAACGTATGGAACTCGAAAACGCCATAATCAACTATGGAACCGTGCAGTATGAGCCCAAGCTTCCAAATCCCTGACATCTTTTTCCTTCCCCTGGATCTGCGATGTTTCGGAGATCCGTGTCTTTGGCCAAACACTCTCTTAAGCAGAGCTGTCCCTCAACGGTGTTTTGATGTGACAAGCGACAAACACAAGGAACGACTCCACCAGCTGGACTCATGCGTTGCCCCCTTTTTTCTTTTTCTCCATGCGACAAGGTGTCTGAGGCTGCGCGGCTGCGCTGCGGCGACCCCTCTGCGTCACGGCGACACAAGCAAAGAGACACAAAGAAAGAGAGAGAGAGAGAGAGAGAGAAAGAGAGCGAGAGATTTTCAGAGAAAAGTGCGCGGAGCCCTGAAACACGGCGCCTTGGGCGCGGTTGGCTCTGGGCGGGCATCTAAAGCTTGGCAAAAAATGTCTCGTGGATGAGGAGGAAAATCAGTGTTGGAATCAACCCGAACCCGCCGTTGAAGCTCCAAATCCTGCAGAAATTGGCTTTCGTGACTGTTCCTGAGCTCCTTTTGTTTGGGGACCTCCTGGCCGAAGCCTCCACGGGACTACCGTGCCAAGCGTCATGGGCATGGTATAGATATTTTCAAACGAATTAAGTTCTGCCAGCGGCATGAGATCACCGCAATCGCCGCAGGACTTCCGGGCCTGATGACAACGTGCAGCAGCAAAACAACCAGGAGCCAAAAGTACTCGCTGAGTCACTTGTAGGCCAAGTGGCAGAAATCCTTGAGGGTTTGCTGGATGTCCTCGAGTGTGTAGGTCAGGTAGTTCACCTCACGAAACATGGAGATTCTCTCATTAGACCACACAACCAGGGAGTCTCAGCTATCAGACCTTCAGCTGGATGGCCACGATGTCTGCCTTCCTCGGCTTCGTTTATATACATATATGTGTATACATATATGCACATACACACATATACATATCTATATATACACACATGCATGCAGATATGTACGACAACTCATATTGTTCAAATATGTCTTGTACTCAACATTCAAGAGGACTCTCCCGTCTGCCGGCCAGGCTTCGAAACGTCGCCCCGCAACCTGGGTACTGGCGGTGCAGGGTCCAAAAGGCTCAAGCATGTATAGATGTCAGCTCAACACAGTGCAGAGTTGGCACTTTGACCATGGTTTTGCTAAGCAGCTGCATTAAGCCAGTCACGAGCTCGTCAGCGGACAACTCGCCTGTACTTGCATCGATCCCGGCTGATGAGAGTCGGCTATGAGATGGAGACACGCGGTGCACCGCGGAGCACCCAAATTGCGGACCATCATGTTCAATTGCATCGCAGAGGTGACCACACCTCCCATGTCCACATCCAAGATGTCGAACATGCGGAACTTGTCGGACATGTCCTGAGTTAGCAGGAGATCCTAGCCCGAGCCAAGGCAAAAGCGCTTTTCGTAAACAAGGTGGAGACCTCAATCAAGCAGGGTGTCCACATCAGCCTCCTCCAGCATGGTCACGAACTCCGGATCTTGGAGCCAAAGAGTAAACCTTGGAAAGCGTATTCAATCAGGCAAAAGGAGAACAGGGGGGGGGGGGGGGGACAAAGCCCATGTGCTCTTTTCTTCTCTTTTCTTGGACCATGAATCGGATACTGAATAAGCTCGGCCCTCACAAAGGCTTCATTTGGGCTTCATCTCAAGAGCCTGCTCTCACGTGCAGGCAAGAAGCATCTCTTTGGAGATGCACACCTGCAACACAGGGGAGTTGCTGATCTGCTTTCTTTTTTCTGCTGTTGCCTTTCTTGGCACATATTCATGAACAACAACTTTCAGGAGTATCTGGACGCACGATCGGCGAGGCCCCCCCACAGCGGGACGGCCATCGCCAAGATCGCTACTCAGATGGTCAACGATCAAACCCCCGCCCCGCGACCCCCCCCCCCCCCCCCACAGAAGGTGTGTGCGACACTGGGGGGGGGGGGGGGAGAAAACAAAGCGCCCCCTTGGATGATCTCACTTGGTGCCTTGTCTTCCTGCAGGATCTTGTAGGTCGCCTCTGCAATCTTCTTCTTCGTCGCCTGCTCTCTGCTTCCCTTCTTCAGGAACTTCCAGGCGCGTCCCAAGTCACGACCCAGCTACTCTTTCATCATATTTCACCTATAGCAGCGGGTATACAGAATCACTTGTTTGACAGCATTTGTGCCAGGTCACAATTTCGCAAAGCGCTAGAGGGCCCATTAGAGTTCGACACTACCTCATCCCTCTGCGCGCTGACCCGCAATTTGTCGGGGAAAGCTTGACGTTCACAATTGATAGTACTTGAAATGATTTTCTAATTGCAAAAAGCCCGAGCCTGATCCCGATAGTAGCCTTGTTCCGTGACGTGTGCCAGCTTCCTGAGTCTGCCGCAGAGCAGCCCACGAATGCGAAACCCTATGCTCCCAGGCACCGACCCATCATGTTCCGACCTACTGAGCGGTCCTGTGCCTACAGAGCTTGCCTCTTAAAAGCCTCTGTCCCAAGAACATTGAAGACTTGGGATGTTCTCCCTTATACAAACAGTCCTTCATTGGGATTATATAGTACCCCTCTTATCATCTCTATTGACTGAATTAAGGACTGTTTGTATAAGTATAAGGGGGCACATCCCAATTTGAAAACCCGCAAAGAGTTCTACCCTAAACCCTAAAGGCCCTAAATCCTAAACCCTGATGAGTTCAGGAGGCTGCTGCGCCGACTCGCTGAGCCGGTCAAAGAGATTCCGCTCTGTCTCGGAGGCCGGCTCGCAGAGGAACCTTCCCCCGGATTCCCGCCCTCGACTGCCCCGCACCCCACTCCTTTCCCCCTCATCCTCTCCCCCTGCCCCTCCCCCCAACAAACCCCAAATCCTCTATTTAGGGTGATCTCGGGTGGTCTCAGATCTTCAACTGCATTTCTCCGGCGTTCTCCAGAATTTGTTTGGGAGAGCTTCGGGCAAAAGGCACCGTCGAATGTGGAGCTGGAGGTCCGTGCAAACGGCCGCGGAGGAGTCGCCTTGGAGTGGGAGCCATTGCCGTTTCTGGCAGGCTTCTTACCTTCTGATCTGGGCAGCAAAGCAAAACAAGAAACTCCGGAACTGCAACTGAGTGCAAGTTCACCCTCTCTAGCCTGGAGGTGTTTCTATAGCTTCGGACGGTTGGGCTCCATGACATCTTGCCCAAGCTTTGACACCCCTGCAGCCCCCAAGTTTTGAACCAAGCCGCCGATCTCCCGCATCTTCCGTTGCCCTTGAGACTTCAGCACCTAGGAAGGCAGAGAACACGAGGGGATTCTTCGAACCCTTCTTCACTTCAAATGTGCGCTTCATGGGCTGGTGGCCGTTGCCGTGTGGCTTAGAAAAAAGGTATCTAAGATAATCGTTCGCGTCATGACCCTCTGAGGGGTTTTTCTTCTTCCGCGGCTGGCCGCAGGGGGGTCTGGAGAGGGTCCGTGTCTTACACACCGTGCACTTGGTTTTTTTCTTTGGGCTTTACACTCGTTGTTTGAGTGTTCCCATGGGAAACCAGCCGAGGATCGTTGTCCAGAAACACGGCCTTGGCAGACAACGCTCAGCAACAGAAGTATCAATCACCTGACATAACCAGCTGGATTGGTTTTGGTGTTTGGGACCTTCGGAAAGGCAGTCCCCACGCGCGAAAAAACAAGCAATCAGGAAGTACTTTCGGGAATTGAGCGACTAAGCGATGTCCAAGCCGCCATGATCAGGTTGAAGAGGCCCACCTAGGCGGTAACACACATGCAAACACCGCAATCTGAGCTGAAGCCACAAACATGGCTCACTACATCTCACAATATCTCACAATTCTCACAAATTCTCGCCGAGCTCGGAACTGCGACCGTCCTTAGAAGCCCCGTGCAGCTGCCCGTGCTTTGTTGTTTCATGACCACCGGTGTAAGGATTTCAAAAGGCCCCAGTTTCATCGTCGTCAGGATGTAGAGTACGAAGAAGGGCGTCCCCAATTCCAGGCGCAGACGCTCGGGCAGCGGAGTTCCGTCCTGATTCCCGGCTGCGTTTCTGTTCAACCTCTAGAAACACGCATGCTAAATTCTAAGCTTAGAAGCGACATCGTGCTTCTGCATTGCAAGCAAAAGGGTCGTATGCTGAACAGCCATCTGGCCCGAAGCATCGGAACAGTGTGAACATTGATCTCGGCATGCTGGCAAACTCCTCGGCGCAACACACTTCGCCCATTTAAACTCGACGACATCTTGTTCAAGCGCGGCCTCCTCGTCGCTGACTAGCCTTGGCTCCACGGTATACTCTGCGGTGTTTATACAGTCCTGCAGCTATACGTGGTTGTGCCGCAGCAAGGCCAAGGCAGAGGCAAGGCAAGGCAGGGGCAAGGCAGGGGCAACAAGCACTCCATGCAGCCACAGGGCCGCATGAGCACGCCAATCGTGTAGATGATGAACCTCAATGGACGCGCTTTCCATGTCGATATGGCGCGACGCAGACATGTCAGCAAAGTCGAAGCTGAGGCAAGGCACATCAGCAGCACAATGGCCCAGCCTCGCAAGACAGATATGAAACCCTGCAGAAATCTGCCCTAAGGACCATGTCTGTCGAGGTCGTGCCCTTCGGTCTTTTCATTTCGTGCTGAAGTCTGCCGAGATGCACAGCGCACGGAGTCCCGAGAAGAGGCCCAGCACCATCAGCTTCAGCTCACGAAACATGCGGAAGCGCATCAGTCGAACC